AGAGAGAGAGAGAGATAAAGAGTCAAAGACTGGGCCATGGCCCCCGTATTGTCGGAGTTTCAATTGGACGAGCACCCCCGAAGGGGGGGGGTTGCCCTCTGACAGCTGGACGCAGCCAGCCGATAAAAATATACCAATTCACTCATTGGGGACGAGGAGGAGTCATCCGGTGGATGCCAAGCGGGTCAGGATGAGGGGCGAAACTGATCTGGGGGGTTTGGAAGTTAGGAAAACCGGAAATTGTCGCCTGAGGATCTAAAAAAATGATGATCAAATTTCTAGCGCTCTTTGAGATTCAACTAATAGAATTTTCAGTTAGTAAATTGCCTATTTTGCTTGAAAAATAATCGTCTAATTTGTTCTAGGGTTGAAATAAGACAATAACAAGACAACAATTCACATGGAAAAAACTTGCTAGAAAGCATCAGAATCTGGCAGTCTAGCAAAGATTTGTAGGTTCTGAGAAAAAGCTTAGAAACACCTTAGAATTAATTATTCAAGTTACCTTAAACTTAAATTTATCGTTTTTGAGATAGAGCGGAGCGGCAAGGTTATTTAAAAAATTTTCGAGCATGAGCATGACCTAGAATTGGGCTTAGGCTTAGGCTTAGGCTTCCGCTTAGAATCATGCCTAAATTAAGCTTTGCTTAGACTTCCGCTTAGGATTAGGTTAGCGGTCATCGGATTAGCAGACGATTATGCTGAAGCTTAGGCTTAGACGTTTAGATTACGCTTAGACTTAGGCTTGGCTTAGTTTAAGCTTAGGCTTAGCTTAGGTTTAGCTACACTCTTAGTATACCTTAAAACCCTACAACCAAAATCCAAAACCCAGTTACCGTATCACCCCATCCCCCCTGTCGATCGGCCATGACCGGGTTGCGCGGGCGCTTTTGATGAGGTATCGTCGGCCGGGGTTTGAGTGGATGGGTCTCGAAGCGAACCCGCCACCGGCCATGTACCGATCATTCCGCCAGCTGTTGTCCTCTATTATGCAACCGGTGGTTGTGGCTGGGTGGGGTGGGGGGAGGGCGGTATGTCTATAGGGTCTTCTAGGGATTGGCCCTGTTCCCGATACACTCATCAATCACTATTGTCTTTTGGATTTACCCCCAATTAAGGGCAGGAAAGGCTCATCCTCATTGCGAGTATGGGGGGTATTAGATAAAAAAATGGCTGACTTGTAAAAACTTAATTTTCACAAAAGTTAATTTTTTAGTTTAATGGTTGTAAAACGGGTATATTAACGTGGGGTATTAAATTTATATATAATCATGCATTAAATGCTCTAAAAATCTCTGAAAAGGGCCCAAATTCAAGCACTAAAAATGACGATGGGATAGAGCTAACGACAAATAAAATTAAAATTACTTACGTATCGAGACAATTTTACTAATGCTCGAATGTAAAAATGTATTACGGTATCTAGGCGATATTACGCATTAATGGGCATAGGATGATCCTTAAAAGGGGCCAGGGCATATATTTTTAGCCTTTGACCGCCAATTAGTTGTCGCCTGGAAGCAATGGCTGTTTTATTAAATTAACCATTAATAAATGTATTAAGGGTGATTAAAGGGACAGCGACAGTAAAACTATGTTTTCTATCAGGTCATATGCTGAAAAAGTACCAAAAAATTAAAATATCCGCTTGAGGACTGACATAAAAATAACTATGTTTGTTTATCGATGCCCGATTGCTTAAGATAAGCAATACACGTATTAATGACAATCCTTTAATTCCGCTACGCTAGGGTTATATGTCGAAAAACTACAATTTGCTATTTCTTCCTAGTATCTCCGTTTCCGCTTCAACTCCCACTGCCAAACTAAAAGCCACCACGAAGTCGAGTTGACGACCATTTATCCGGCCCGTCCCATAAGGATCGCGTGTAGCCCTCGGCCAAGATCCCCCATATGGCATGTTGTCGACCCCAGAGGAGGCCCGAATCGTCTCGGGAAAGGGGTCTAAAAACATGCCGCAACATGCTCCGTCCCCCCTTTCAACCATCCACCCCGATTTACGAGCTCGTCGATTAGTCGGAATCCCATTAGACCCCTTCTCCGACAAACGGCTCCCGTATCCGCTCCCATTCAATAGCCATAGGGGGCCTCTCGAAAAACCCGAAAGCCCCCCGAAAAACGCCCATTTCGTGTCGGGACCACCAAAAAAAGACGATGGCAATAGCAAATCCGGTGACACGTTAGGGTACGGTAGATGGGGAACCAGATGTTGCACATCCTAACGTTCATTCGTTAGGGTAGCATGGCACAAAATGGATAGCGCAAAAAATGAGCTAAAGGGGTCGAGACTGACCGTTTGTTCATCTACGCCCAGCGTTTCGACGTCGATTTCGTCGAACAGGGGTTCGGAGATGAGGAGATGACTGGAAAAATAGTGTTTTTGGGGTAAAACAAATTGAAATTAGGTTAAATCAAAAATTAGCATTACAGGGCCGGTCAAGGCAACGCTACGGATTTTCGGCGCTGACTTCTTCGGTGTTTTTACGGATACGACTACACACAACGCAACGCTGAATACGCTACGCATCGCGTATCTCGTTCTTGCGTTGCGTATCGTGAACGTGAGGCCAGCTACGTAACACTACGCGCGTAAAGAGCTGCGTATCGTACTACTAGAGCAGCTAAGGCAAAAATCCATAGCCAAAAATGCCGTCAACAAGCCATGTTAGTCCCTTTAATACCAAAAATATAAATTTCAAGTCTGGAAAGTTCCCAAAAATTCCAAGAAATTAAAAACGTCAAATCTTAGGCTTCCCAACCCCTTTAAAGCAGCGATCAAGTAGTAAATTTTACCGGATTCTTTTTAGAAAATTTCGAATCGAATTGCAATTTAGCCTATACCTTTATAATCCCTTTAAACTCCAAAAAACCCACCATTCCTTGTAGATTCTGGCATCGACGTCCATCGTCCAGTCAGTCGATTTGGGTGCGTTTTGAATGGTCGTGAAGTGTGGGCCATATCTGCCACCCACCCTGGTAGGGCTGGGTGAATCGCCGTGGGAAATCAGGGAGGAGGGTGGGCAAGGTAAGAGGGTTTTTTCACCTAAAAACAGGGGTCGACATGATCCGCCGGGGAGAGGGGCCATTGATATGGAGGCCCAAATGGGGCGCCGGAAGGGTATTTAATGGTATGGTAAGTACTATTGTGTATTGTGGTCGAGTGAATACGGGACTCTAGATAGGAAAAGGAGGCTAAATGGCATTGGGCAACGAGCAGTGACTATTTGGGAATCGATACTACTAGCGAGCTGGTTATCGATTTGTTTTGGATTTGTCGCGACGCTAGACGCCGCGCGCAGCTCGGCTTGATTCGCAAAAACCGCAAATCGTCCGGAAATAAGGCAGTTGCGTTGCGTAGCTGAAAGCGTTGCATGCCGCGCTGCCTAAGGCGTTGCGTGCCGCGCTGCAAGTCGCGGCTGCCGCCTTGCACACTGCGTTGCGTGTCGCGCTTGCTGACGCGTTGCGTGCCGCGTTGCGTATCACGCTGTCTCTCCCGTTGCGCTTCCCGCTGCGTGTCGCGCTCCATTTTGCGATGGGTCTGACGTTGCTGGTTGCGTTGCGTGCATCGCAGCAAGTCGCGTTGCGCGCCGCGTGACGTTTCGCGTTGCGTGTCGCGCTGTCTGTGTCGTTGCGGTCCGCGCTGCGTGTCGTGCTACATGTCGCGTTGCCTGTCGCGTGAACACAATACCCCTTATTCCATTACGCAATGATAGTGCATGCGGGTGCGCTCGCTTACAAAATCCATAACCAAAAATCCCCACTTCTGCCTTGTCAGGCACTTTAAAATACTCACAAGTGTCAAGCCAACTTCATTAATGCACAAACTCTTCGCCAACTCCTTGATAATCAATAAAGACGAAATCACGTACAAAAACCAGATACAAACTACAAATCCCCCAGAAACGGTCCACTAGCTAATCCGCTTGCCAACTGGATTAACACCCTCGCAACAATTCCAGCTTATACTATTGACAGACCAGTCCTCTCGCTCCCTGGCAGCTGGCCCGAATCTCGGTTGCATAAGATGCGCTACTCCACCCCATCCCCCCTCCCCCCTAATCCACCGATCAACTCTCAATAGGGGGTCAGCTGTGGTGTGTATTGGAAGCGTACTGTAGCCGTAATTTGCGTATGTGATATTTATTAATTATGTATGTATGTCGCTATTTGCGCACTATTTTCTTTCCCATTAATCATGACCTTAATCCTCCGTTTTGCGGGGGATGCTTGTTGAAGAACAGGTCGACCATCCAGCCAGCCACCTGTCTTCGGGCCCCAATATGGTCTCAGGGAGGGACACGAGGTAGTTAATTGGTCGGGACGGGTCAAAAGGTGAAAAATGGTGCCCCCAGCCTGGGCGGGGGCAGAAGCCGCCAAAGCCTCCTAATCGGGTGCTAGCCCTCTTTTCGGGACAACAAACAGACCTGCCCATTTTCTACCGCTATGCCCTGGGGGGTAGTGGGGGTAGGAAATTAATTGGAAGAAGCTTGGAGGGACCGGAAAGGAAAAAATATATACCTTACGGTGTTAAGCTTGCTATGTACCCGAAGCGTACTCGTTAGATTTCTCATTAATGCGTCTATGTGCAGTATCCGTTTGGTTTCGGATTCCGCTTAGGCTTAGCTTCGACTTAGCTTCGACTTAGCTTCGACTTAGCGTCGGCTTCCGCTTAGGCTTAGCTTCGAATTAGCTGGACTTAGCTTCGGCTTCGCTTAGGCTTGGCTGATGCTCAGCTTAAGCATGGCTTAGTGCAGGCTTGGCTTGGCTTAAGCTTAGCTTAGGCGATAAAATATATCTCTATCACATGGCCCTGAATATTTATCACCAAATACAGTGCAATCAATACAAACCCAGTAATAAATAATATGGGATTGGTTTCAAGGGACGGTGACACCCAATTTCCGATGCAAACTCGTGCGGCAAAAATTATTTAGACATCGTGGACTAGACAGTTCTTGGAACCAAAATTCCGATTTTCAGACGTTAATTGGAGTTTGTAGCCGCATATCCAAAGCCTCCTCCTCATCCTTTCTAGATTAATCAATAAATTTATTTTTGTGATTAATGCTTACCCTACAAGAGCTTGTTGAGAGCCCCCATCTTCGTTGAACTCTGTGGTCTGCCTGAATTTACAAAAATTTGACGAAAAGAATTCTGAAATTTACTCCTCGAAATCCTCGAGCTGAAGCTCAGAACTCGTGCTCGCTACTTCGGCTCGATTGTATCTAGGGGATATTGTAGTTAAGAATGATATTGATTTACCGGTGGCCGCACAGCTTCACAAAATTCATCTTATGACATTTCTTCCAAAATACCCCATAGCAAATCGCGGTGATCAAGAACCCGGCAAGCACGAGGAATCCGGGGATCAAGAGCATCCAAGCTTTTGAGGATTGTAGGGGTGCTAAAATTTAGATTACACAAATCCTACCTTATATAATTTTGGGGTGTATCTCTGTGTGTGTGTGTGTGTGTGTGTGTGTGGATGTCACTTTGGAGGCCCGATTTAAGGGCCATCCCCTGGATAAAATGCGCTAATTCTTCGTCACCCGGGGGAATCGTCCCTCCTCTTTCCGATGGCGTTTTCAGAATTGCCATAAAATACAAGTTTACAAAATTTGAAGCCGGATTTACTCATTTTTGAGGGTAATTTGCATAATGTAAAAAAATAGAAATTTCCTCATTCTTCCCGGTTGCACGCGCGTGTGTGGTCGGTAGGGGGAGGAGGGTCCGAAGGACCCGAGCTAGCTATGGAAAAGTCAAATTGTTCATGCAAAGGCCGCATTCCAGCGCCCAAGGCCCGCGAAGCGGGTTTTGGGCGCTGGTAAAGATATAATTTAGGTTACCTGTTTCCTCAACAAATACAGTAAATTCAAGGGAAAGCTGGAAGGTTGTTGGTTTTTCTCCACGTTGAAGTGGGAAACTATTTTCAGCCTCACAAGCGTAGGTTCCGTTGTCTGACGTCTAAAAATACAAAAATTAAAATTATGCGAAAATTAGAGAAAAATTGTTTACCAAAAAATCAGTAATTGTAAGTGATCGATTGGTTTCTGCGATGTTGTATTTTAAATCATCATCTGAATATTCGTTTTTAAAGTTTTCTGGAATCATACCTATTATAACATTTCCATTCTTCTTCCACACAACATTAGCGATCGGCCAGGCAAGGATAAAGCAATGGAGGGTTACGTTAGAGTACTAAAAACAGCTCGAAATAACGAAAATCATAAGATGAAATTGCCTCCGATACGTAAACAGTACGCTCGTACTCATAAGCATCTAGTGAAGCACCGGATTTTTCGTGGATGTCGATTTGTATACTTGTATTAAAAATAGGACGGGCTAAAATTCGTCAATAGGAGTACTACCAAGCTAAACTTACCGTAAAAATTGACAAGGGTAGAAGCCTCATTTCCGGTTTTTGTTTTTATGACACAAGAATATTGACCGAACTAAAAGTTGATTTAATAGGTATTTTTTGCAAATTACTACTTACGTCATTAACCAACAAATCGTGCGTATAATATACTACCAAAGATTGGTCCATTATAGTCTCATTTACATAACTTCCATCTGAAACCTTCCGAAAAGAGGCTTCTTTGATCAACTCATCAGCGTTTTTTGGATCGATTTTACACCTATTGACTGATTTCTATGATTTCAGTTGTTTCAGACCCAATAACTTCCGTTCCATTCGTCACTTCCGCTTTTGGAAATTTTTTTAGAAAACCTGAATATACAATAAATACTAAAAATATGCTTTATTATACCAGGGCCAACGTAAAATCCATCTAGCGGGACCAAAAGCGAATCGATCGCTTTGTGGCCAAAAGCCAAGGGAATCACTAAAAAAAATCACGAAAAACCGATTATCCATTTAAAACGATACCTAAAAGGCGGACGATGCCCAGCAGCAAATTCGGCATTTTGTTACTGCCAAGTTTTCTGAAAATTTCGAAGATCCGAGAAAAGATTCGATTGCCAAATCGTACAGCGAGGCCTTTCCACCCACGAGTTACCGAATTAATTTTTTTCAGGGCAGTTGGGATTCAGAGAATTAAGATTCAGCTCTGTGTATGTAGCTTCAGGGTCTCAAAACACGTTAGAATTAATCTAAATTTTAATAGGATAGAAAGCTTAAGATTTTAAGGTGGTATGGTAAAAACCTCATAAAAGCCGGTTTTAGATTACCTTAGCATATTGAACAACTATTAATAAATAAAAGCTAAAAGCTACAGGTTTCAAGAGCCATCTTGGCGAACCTAGCCTAAGCCCAAGCCTAAGCCAAAGCCTAAGCCGAAACCTAAACCTAAGCCAAAGCCTAATCTTAAGCCTAAACGTAAGCCCAAGCTAAGCCTAGGCCTAAACCTAAGCTTAAGCCTAAGCCCAAGCCCAAGCCAAAGCCCAAACCTAAGCCTACGCTCAGCCTAAGCCAGAGGCTAAGCCAAGCCTACTCAAAGCTTAAGTCAGACTCAAAGCCTAAGCCTAAGCCTAAGCGAAAGCCAACGTCAAAGCCAAAGCTGAGCCTAAACCTAAACCTAAGCCGAAGCCGTAACCTAAACCAACGCCTAAACCTACACCTATGCCTAAGCCAAAGTCAATCCTTGGTCAAAGCCTAAGCCATGCTTAAGCTTAAACCTAAGCCTAAGCCTAAGCCAACCCATCAAAATACCTAGGAAGTACTAATTTACATTTTTACAGCCCAAAAACCCATTGAAACTGAAGATCTAAAGCGAAAGGCAGCTGAATAATGAAGCGAATGAGGGCCAATAAAATTCTGAGAGCCTCTGCGCGTAAATGTTTTTTTTCTGAGGGAGCTGGATGCCCGGAGGAGGTGGGAAACGAAAACAAAAAATGCTGCCGCTAGGTGGCGTTGATTTTTGCTGATCAATACCTGACTGCTGGGATGTGGATGAGGTTTTGGTATAAACTGAAGAGTGAAGAAAAGTGGGACGGCTGTTGAATAAATTTATAAAAATAGCCTGTATGTCATGAAATTGTTGTTGGGGGTTGATATTCGGTGGTCGGTTGACGTATGTTATTTCGCCATTTTTAATGGGCAATTCAATTTATAAGATAATTCATATTTCGGCATGATTTTAACGGTATCGTAATTATTTTAATCTTTTGTGTTTTTGAAGATATATTTTATTGGAGCGTCGGTTATTGACGTAGAATTACCACGCGTTGGTAATCATCTACCACCTTTAAATTTATCTAAATTACTAATCAACTAAATAGATTATCATAAATTTCAAAATTTGTATTTAGTTGTATTTATTGTGAAGAGTTGCCACTCGTGCGCGTTCTTTGTTTTGGTGCCATTAAATGGCAATTAAAGGGATCAGGAAGGCCCAGGAAAATTAGCATCCTGAACCCTGATCTACATGAGCCTTCCTAATTCCTTAAAAAAAGAAAAAGCGCATATTCTCGCTTGCCCATCTTTCTCAGGAATAATTTTTTGGAAATTATTTTTGATTTGATTGTATTTTTATTCTATGAATTTAACTCTAAATTCAGCGGATTTTGAATTTTTCTTTGTTTTTCTCTTTGTATTTCCGCCGTTTTTGATTGTGGCATTGTCAAATTGGTTTGTGGCAGACTTAGATAGCCCCAAGGAGCGTACCTTATATCCAAATGCCCTATGATTCTGATATCGCCAAAAAAACCAATAGATTGAGGCATTGTGGGCCCTTATCAAATCAGCGCTCCTCCCTCCTTTCCTATCTGAGGACGGGGGCTGTATATAAATGGGTGTTCGGAGCGATAACCCGTGCCTCACTTTTCTGTACAACACGCCACAAATAAACCCGACCGCCTTCTTCTTCTTCTTCTTCTTCCGCTCAAGGGCGAAAATCTCTCCTAATGGCCCTTCTTCGGGAGCAAATCCGCGGGCCGATTCGGGTCAACGCTTACGGTTTAGGGTGTTCGTGTAAGGGCTGCATTGTAGTTTTTTCGCTTGCGCAGACAATTGTAGTTTCTATACTTTATTTGCTTTCTTATAAACGTCTTCGCATTAATTCGAAAATAAAAAGTCGATCTAATACGTGATCCTTACCGGTAGACACGAATTTAATCCATCAACAGCTTTTTTTACTACATTTTTCCATAAACAAACTTAAAAAATAAGTTTGAGAGTTTGCGATTAATTTATGACTATTTTCGTGTCGATTGCAGGCATTAAGGGCTAAGAAACCAATTCAAAATAAAAATATTTTCTTGCCGATCCCTCGTCTAGCGATGATTTCCAGTCCACTCGAGTCTCCCCCACCCGATAGAATGAATCATTTCAGTTGTCGCGGAATTTCAAAAACATTTAGCGGATCCATGTCTGTCCAGCTTTCTCTCTCTGCCTCTCCCTCTCTCTCCAGTCTGTCTTGCTCTTTCCCTCTCGCTCTTTCTTTATCTCTCTCACTCGTCTCTCTCTTACTTTCTCTCTCTATCGCTCTCTCTTTTTTCACGCTCTCTCTCTAGCTCACTCTCTCGCTCTCTCTCCCTTTCTCCATCTCTCTCAGTCTCTCCCTCGCTCTCTTGCGTAACCGCCTAAATCTTAGATAGATGAAGCTGATCATCGAGGAAACTGGCGAGGCTGTGGCCGATTTCGCAGCCCAATACGTCGCCAAAAAGATCCGCGAGTTTGACGGCAACCCGAACAAGCTCTTCGTCTTGGGACTCCCGACCGGTGAGAACGAGCTCAAAATACACTTACAATCGCGCAAGCCAGGTTCCACACCGCTTGGAATGTACAAGAAACTCATCGAGATCCACCGCCAGGGCAAGGTGTCCTTTAAATATGTGAAAACGTTCAATATGGATGAGTATGTCGGTAGGGTCAAAACGAAAAATATTTTAAAAACTATTAAATCCAGGACTTCCTCGTGATCACCCCGAAAGCTATCACTCCTTCATGCACTCAAACTTTTTCCGCCATATCGACATCGAGCCCCATAATGTGAATATTTTGGATGGGAATGCGAAGTGTTTGACGGAGGTGGGTTTTGGGAGATTTTTGGCGATTTATCGGCTTCTTAAAATCCGGAAATTTCAGGAATGCGCGGAATATGAGCGGAAAATAAAGGCGGCTGGTGGTGTGGATTTGTTTATTGGAGGTAAGGGTTTAAAAAAATATTTTTAGGGGATGTTTTTCCAGGTATCGGACCGGACGGGCACGTCGCTTTCAACGAGCCGGGCTCTTCGTTGGCTTCTAGGACCAGGATCAAGACCTTGAATGCTGATACTATTCAGGTAAGCTCTGGAAAATTAAATATCATGGATAAAAATATAATAAAAAATATATATAATTGTGTTTTAGGCAAACGCTCGCTTCTTCGATAACGATCTCTCAAAGGTCCCAACGCAGGCTTTGACCGTTGGAGTTCAAACTGTAATGGATGCTCGTGAGGTATCGATTTTTTATGACTTAATCTACAATTTTATATTTTTAATACTACAAACTCCTATCTCAGGTCGTGATCCTCATCACTGGTGCTCACAAAGCCCTAGCCCTGCACAAAGCTATCGAAGAGGGCGTCTCCCATATGTGGACTGTATCGGCTTTCCAGGTATTTTTTATGATTTTAACCTTCAACTCTACATTTTTCTGTTTTATAATCGTTTAATATATCATTTTCAGATGCACCCCCTGGCCACCTTCATCGCTGACGAGGACGCGACTCTCGAGTTAAAAGTGAAAACCGTGAAATACTTCAAAGGCCTCATGACTCATCACAAGAAACTCATCGAATAATTTTGATTTTGTATTTTATTTTACGCTTATATTCTGTATTTAATTTGGTAATATTATCAATAAATTACAACTTGGAAATTTATTAAACCGGAAATGCACCGAGGTTTTATCAAAGTCGAATCGGGCTAAAAACGCATAAAGCTGGGCAGGGAGAGCTGCGTGGATAAAGCCACTGAAAAATGGCCAGAATTGATGGTTTAAGACGGCAAAATGCGATGAAAATTATGTAAGTGAAAGAGATGATGCTCAGATCGAGGGGTGGTCAAGTGGGACAATAATTGCTTACTTAAATTCAATAAAAATATATGTAAACCACGGGGATTGAAAAAATGGGACAAGAAATCTCATGCATAGGCAAGTAATCGAGATTATGGGAGTGACACTGGGTTTTAATATTGGCTAGAATGTCTTTAAAGGTATTGGAAAGACAAGGAAGGGTAAAAAAATTGAAGGAAACTTGAAATTCGTATGCTAATTAGACAACCTAAATTGAAATTAGAGTACAAAATTGCCGATAAAAATTTTGTATACTAAAAATTGGTATTTTTAAAGGCACTGGTCAAAGGGAAAGGTATCTATGAGCAATCGAAAATTAACCGTATTTTGAGAAACAAAATAAAACTAGCGGAATATATTCAAATTGGGTTCTAATATCGATTCTAATAATGCAAGAGCTGAAAAATGCAAAATTATCGCTAGAATATTATTATCTAGCGATAAATAATGTTGTATGTATAGATGAAGATTTGTATCTGGTGCTCACACTCGTGCTGATCAGAAAAGACTCCCGTAATCGGTCCAGCTTTCCGGGAACGGCTGCAGTTTGTCGTTGAGGCGGTCGTCGTGGATTCGAAGTACCTTAAAAATCTTTATTTTCGTTAAGGCCCTATAACGTACGTTTGTAAAATGTAATGTAGCGTAGCGTAATGTAGCGTGACGTCCTCCTACTGGCTACTTTGATAGCCATCATCAGCCTTCGCCTCTGGATGTTCTGGAAGGTTCATTTTAGTAGTACGCTTAAGAAATCTCGCTTTAAGCTCTCAGTGTTTCTTCTTTTAGCGCTAAAGTCCATCATATAAACCTTTTTCAAGCATCACGCAGAAATAAAAAGTTAATTTTGAATAATACAAACGGGTTATTGCACGACAAAACAATGCTGGGGTATAAATGGTTAAACTAAAGCATTTTTAGCAAGCTGGTAAGGTTATACTAACGTAAATAAGGGATTGCACAAATTCTAAGGGCAATATCGTGCTGAAAATGTGAAAAATAACTCATGCCTCGTGGGGGCAGCTGCTCGACGACGTGAGGAAGTTCGGCGGGGTACATTGGGATCACTGCAATGGGTAATACTGCTGCTCGAGCTCTTTCTCATGCAGATCAGGAGAAAAGAAGGAAGGCAGACAGCAAAAGCAGGGCACACAGCAAACAAAAAACATGCAAGTAAGCCTAAACCACACTATAATCTTGATTAAGGTGTAGAATAAACGATAATTAAATAATTTGAGCTTCCGTGTGTATATCAAGCGGTTGAGGTGAACAAAAGCGTACTGTGGATGCAAATAACGACACGATGCGTACGTACAAATAGCGTACTGTGGATGCAAACGTAGAAGTATACAGATCATCATTACAATATTGATTCCAATCCACAGAACTTGACGCATTTCATACCATCTAGTCTTCTTTGCCTCATCCTCTGCCATCGGTTCCGAATAGAGATTTGTTGCTGCTGTCCCGTTGGTCGAGTGCTCGGTGCGGAACTCTCTAAAATTGTGAAATGTGAAATGATGCCTAAAATTCCATCAAAAATGACAAAGTTTTGCATTAAATGTGCTGTCGAGACTCCACTCTCAATATCTAGCCATTGAAAAATTAATGGAAAAAAATCTGGATAGCCTAAAATCCAGAACCTAGAAAAGCTGGCCCAAGCTTGCAAGATGCAGCGATCCCTAAAGTCAAGGAAAATCTCTTGTTTTGATAGCTGATTTTGCCGTGACATATAGAAAATTCTAAAGTAAATAAAAGTTAATTTATACAATGTCAAAGCGGCGCTTCGGCACATAAGCAACAAAAAGAGGAGCAACAATTTTATAGAATTGGTATAAGAATCTGTAAAATAGAAGTTTTTTTAAATACAGGGTGGCCCGAAAGTACGTTGACCGGGTTTTTTCGAATTTTCTAAAAAACTATAAGTACTGGCAGGGTCATACTGACATAGGATATTTCTTATACAATTACTTTCAACAGGGTATTGTCACTTTTCCTATTGACTGACTTAAATTTGGAAAAACTGGCCGAGAAGATTGCTGAAAATGAGGTGCCGGCACGCGGGTACTCGGCGTCGTATTTGCCCCATAACTCAGCGAAGACTTAACTGAGGATGTTCAAATTTGGATGGGAACTAGTCAAGACCGAGGCCTTCAAGACCTATCACACCAAAAAATTTAGCCGGCTTTGGTTCTGCCTACAGAAGGGCGACTATGTGCGATCAAAAAATGCGTGTTTCAAAACCTTAATAGCGGCTCCAGACACTTGCGCTTGTGCGAGGGTCCTGAGCCTTCACCGGAAGGTCGTGCTCTACCAAAATGCTAGGCACACCTCCTAAATGACTCAGAAAGCCAGCATATGTGTTTTTATCCAAAGGGGATTAATTTTAGATTTTACCATTTTCAGGAATTTTCGCCATGTGCTGTGCAATTAAGGTCCTAACGGAAAATTGGGGTTGTGTCGCCTTTCATGCGCCTGTCCAAATTTAGAAGAATTGCATAAGGAATACAATTCATAGCCTTGTTTTGCCTGCAACTTCGAGCGCAAGTGTCTGGAGCCGCTATTAAGGTTTCGAAACATGTGTTTTTTGATCGCTCATAGTCGCCCTTCTGTAGGCAGAACCAAAGCCGGCTAAATTTTTTGGTGTGATAGGTCTTGAAGGCCTCGGTCTTGACTAGTTCCCATCCAAATTTGAACATCCTCAGTTAAGTCTTCGCTGAGTTATGGGGCAAATACGACGCCGAGTACCCGCGTGCCGGCACCTCATTTTCAGCAATCTTCTCGGCCAGTTTTTCCAAATTTAAGTCAGTCAATGGTAAAATTGATAATACCATGTTGAAGGTAATTGTATAGGAAATAAAATATGCCAATATGACCCGGCCAGTACTTATAGTTTTTAAGAAAATCCGAAAAAACCCGGTCAACGTACTTTCGGGCCACCCTGTAGAAGGAGGTAGAGGTAAAGAAGCGGTTCAAGAGAAAACAATTGCTTTGATTAAATTTCTAGTTTTCCGTTTTAAATTTAGATTTTATAACCTCGATATCTAGTGAAACGAACAGATCCGGCGGCACTTTCGTTTTCAACAGCCCATCTCGGTGATGATTATTGTGATTTGTGGATCCATTCAGCTTCAATGGGCCATGATGGTTGAGTAGAGATTCGAGACCCGGGCAGAAGAATACGTAGTTTGTCCATTGTTGCGTGTCGAAGCGGAAGATTAGCTCATCTAAAAATTTCCGGATTTTAGCGTTTTAGGAAAATTAAGTTTTATCTCCTTTGGATAAGTTAATGCTTAAAAATCTACCTACCCGGTATCTCTTCATATATATCCTCTTCCTCATCATACGGCGCAATATCCACCCCATACGTTTGAAAACTATATACAGTTCTTGGTGGCTGGGGCCCCTCATCAAGTTGAGGCAGGTTTGGCACTGTCTAAAACCCAATTTTCTGAATTAATTTTAAGTGTAAAACTTACGCTTGATACTTCGGAGGAAGACACGGGTTTTATAATGGTTTGTGGAGGGACATAAGCTAAAAATTGTGATTGTAAAAGAATAAAAAAATCGAATTTACATGTGTACAACCGTGGCGGGGGCAACCGTCTTGGGGGCGGCTTTTGTGCAGTGCCGCCATTCACGGTCTCCCGTGATGTTGAGGGTTCCATCCTTAAAAACGGGATTAGGTAATTCAATTAATATTAATTACATAATTTTTGAGGGTAAAACGTTCTATATGCAAATTATCAGGGCCGAGGCAAGATATTAACATATTACTCGTAAATTGCCAGGAAAAAGTATAGAAAACTCGAAATTTAGCATAAATTAATCAATCAATTAGTTATTACGGTTTTATATAGTTTCAAAGTTTAACCTTCACCTGCAAATGCGCGGTTTGTAAATATGAAGTACTTCCTATATGCAAATCATCAGAAAGAGGCCGGAAATTAGCAGATTACTGACTAAACCGGCCGTAACACGCCTACAAAAATTCATAGTTTGGCTGATTTTAATTAAGGCAAAGGTATATAGTTTTAAAGTTCGGCTCTCACATTCCAATCCGTGTTTTCTAGGCTATACACTCCAAAATAAATCGAAAAACGAGGAATAGGTATAAAAATGATGTAACCGAATCGAAAATACAAATTGGCATAAATCAGCATCGAAATTCAAACATTATCATTCGGTGGTAAGCTCGCCCCCCTCTAAGAGACGCACTTATGCCATTCGATGCGGGAAAAGGAGGTGTGGCGTTGTTTGTATCGCCGCGTTCGGGTCAGCAATCGCAATAGAGGGGCAAGAGAGGGAGAAGGGAGTGGTGGTTGGGTATGAATCATCGAATACTGACCGGATAAACAGTGTCTGATCCCTCCCAAAAATCGCCCAATCTCTACCAAAAACATCCAGCGACCCGCCATTCCCACTTCACACTGTTTTACATCACATCTTCCCCGATTTTTCGCACCCCTCACCCTCAAATCGATCGCTGATTTGGACTGTTTTATTGATTTTTGATTATATCACCTTTGGCAAAACGTAAAAATACTTATAGTTATTTTAGATAAGCTGCCACTGATGAAATGAACGAGAATGAGAGCCCGTCAGAGCTGGATTACCCAATCCCCCTCGAACGCCCAGTTCCGAAACCCAGGAAGAAGCTCCCGCCTCGAACTTCGGATGACTCTGACTCGAGCACCAGCACCTTGATAGGTAAAGCGAAGGCTACAGCCTCGGAAATTACAATTTCCGCAGCGCCAGACTAGACCCTTTCCGGTCCCATGCCACGAAACCAAGGGTTACCGTAATTAGCTGCAAAGTACGAGATTTGTAGTAATTCAGATTTCTGGGGTAATTAGCTTGGGGCCGAAACTAGCTAGAGAAAAGAATAAAAATAGAAGTAAATTACAGGAATTCCAGTAGATGAGGCTCCAGCTCTTGCACCAGCTCTTGCTCCAACTACAACTCCAGCCCCAACACCTCCCCCTCGACCTCCTCCACCTCGTCCTCGGGCTCGGGAGGCCCCGAAGCTTTTTCCACGCAGTCCTCACTACATTCCGGACCCGAACAAGATGCCCTCGCCTACTCCGCAGCTACCACCAAGGTATATTATTAATTTTTGGGCTTAAGTTTGTAGAAAAGTTGTTTAATAATTATTTACCAATTTTTTTGAAGAACCGGATGGACTAGGAAGACAGGTTTGGAATGATGTTGTGTAGTCTGAATATGAATTTGGAATCTCTCGTTTCTTCTCTCGTTCTCTCGCTCTTTCACGCACTCTCTATCTCTCTCTCTCTCTCTCTCTCTCTCTCTCTCTCTCTCTCTCTCTCTCTCTCTTTCTTAACATAATATCTCGAAAAGTCGGTAAATCCGGCTATAATCTTCATTGCACTTTTGAAAATGAATTCGTTTCTGGCTTTCAAAAATCTTTCAAAGCCTACTGAAAAGGCTGCCCAAATTGATTTTGGTCTTCCTTTTTGCATAGCAATTTTGTGAAAGTACCGTACTTTTATACGTTAAAAATGTTAAATTAATTCTTATTTTAGGCCGCCACCACCAGCCATTATGCGGCCAACATTGCCAAGTATGGACGATCCGAACCATGCCTTACCCTATCCACTAACCGATCGGCTTCCGGTAGCTCCAAATGGCCCTCCAGGTAATTTAAGTATTTCTACTACCTATCTTTCTTTAGAAATCGGTTGGTTCCAGATCCCAACCGGCCCCCTCGAGGCTCCTCCACCACCTCAAACATCACAAGATCCAATGCAACCATTGCCCACAATCCCTCAAGGCGCCGCATTCCGCGAACCCGTACCGGTAATCCCTCCAAAACACTTTTCAGTGTATCATCCTCCCGGATTTTAGATGAAATCGGCCGAGTTTGGTTCGGAAAGCTTTGTCCCCGATCGCCCCGCTCTCCCGAATTACTTTGATCCCCCGCAACCACAAGTCATCACACCCCCCGATCCGGTGGTACAACAGCCGACGCCTTCTGACCTCGAATTGTAAGCGTTTTTATATATAAAAAAAAACTTTTTTTAATAGGTATAAAAGGCTTGCTTTCAGAATACCGGAAAACTTTAGTCGAAATTGCATATCGTTGAAAGTTATATAATGCCGAAATTTACCTAAACAAACATCCCGGAAAAAACCCGAAATTCTATGCACAAAAATCGGCATTTTGACTTTCGGAATTTTGAAATTTCGGCATCATGAATTTCCACCTTACGGATTCGACGGTACAGAAGCGTCGTCAGGTCTAAAATGGACCGGAAGCGCTGCCGGCATTTCAAATTTTACAAAAATTTATATTAATATTTGCTATTAAATTTATATAGATTTTTCTTGCTTTATCCCTATTTCCACAAAATCCCAGGCTCGGCCAATTCTCAATGTTCCACACGGAATACGTTGATGCTGCCAGTGAAATCATTGACGTCGTCGAGAATCCGATATATCTGAAGCTGAGCGAATTCCGACCAAGGCGATATTGTGATGATGATACGATTTATGCAACGATTAAAAAGGTATTGCTAGGGCAAATTAATGAATTTAAGCCGAATTTAGCGCCCTGACAATTTGCCAAATTTGCTGTACGTTGGTTTTGGGCCGGAGCAGATTCAGAAAACGATGGATCGGGTGAGTGAACGCATTTTGACCTTACTTTTAACGTATGTAAAAATTTTTCCTATTAGTTGTACTCTTATAATTCTAAATAAGATTATTTCCTTCATTTCAAAATGTAATTTCATCATTTCTTACAGTCACCCCTCCCCGCGTCACCAGTTGCTCGCCCGAACTCTATTAGCCTCCAAGATACGGTAATTCGGTCTTGTGCAGCATCTAAATCAAATTCTCAAATCTAGACTCGCCAAGAATCCGTCGAAAGTTCCGGCGAAAAAACACCGACACCCTCAAAACCACCGCGAACTTTCGCCGCCGAGGTATGGGATTAATTCCCTGATTTTTGGGACTAGACCGGAAATGGGTTGTTTGGTATTTTGGGGTTAGGAAAGAGCGCGAGAGGGAGGGAGGGAGTGAGAGACAGAGAGTGAGTGAAAGAGAGAGAGCGAGTCAAAGAGAGAGAAAGTGAGCGAGAGAGAGAGAGAAGAGAGAGAGAGAGAGAGAGAGAAGAGAGAGAGTGAATTATTTCGAGCCTAGGAGAGAGGTGTGAATAGTCTCGGAGATAGGAAGGGAAAGGAAATTTGATACGGTAATCCGGAAAGGGCATCACGAGAGGGGAGCGAGTGAGAGATCGGTTTGAATAAATCGGCTATTTTTGAGCTGTAAACCGGAGATTTGGGCCTTGAGATAAGTCTGGAGAGAAAAGGGGAAAACGGACTACACAATCTTTTGAAAAAATTTTAGTAAGTCCAATATCAAAAAATACAATTAAATCTGAGAAACATCCCAAAAAACGGCTAAAAACGCTCCCGATCTAGGCTGCCTGGCCGTCAAAACAATGGAGGGAAAGCAAGTCGATGTCGTGCTCGGATGAGGACGCGACTCCGATCGCGAGCCACGCTTTCTTTCCCGACAATTTGGCCACAATTTCGGCCGCTGACAGCACGACGAACATTTTTGGGGCTGATGAGGTGGAGGAGATGGATTATAATGGTAAGAAAGAAGGGAAAATGCTTTATAATCGCTCAGAACCTAATTTGGCGTTTAAGTATAGTCGCAATTATCAAAAAAAAATTCTGTTACAAGTTTAAAGGGATGGAGCCACCAAGAAAAGCACTTACTAAAGCTCTTTTTAGCCACCTGGCAATTTTTCAAAAATTATATTTTCCTCGCACATAGTCATTTATTTAAAAACACAAGAAAAACAACAACTTCCGCTCTATAAACATGCCCCTCTTCTAGGCGGAATGATTGGTTGTTCTCTAGTCACAGTTGACACGCCACTGCCTGCAGACGAGGTATCGATTTCTTCATTTTATGATGCCAATTTGACCATCAGGAACTTGCCAACATCGAGACTGCCATGGTCATCGATAAAACAAATGACGACTCGCCTGAGTCATCGTTGTACTTTTCTGGTATGACCGGCCTCCCTCTAAAAAGTTTGTATTTTTAGGACTGGCCGACTACTATCCCCTTAAAAAGGATAAAATCGCATCTTATGTCAATCTATCTGGGAATAGTATCGTTGTGTATTCACATGAAGATGTAAGGATTTAGCAATCAACGAAAAATGACAAAATTTAGCATACTCAAATCCTTGCCGGCCCTTTCGACCTGATTCATGCAGAATTTATTGGTTGCAATGAGCAAACTGACCAGATTATTTGCCGATTTATGCGGGAGGATGAGCCGAACGAGTCGCGAAAGTCGGCTAAAGAATCGAGGAAATGGGCCAAGGATCGGGCCAATATGAGGGAGCTTCGGTTTTGTCCGCAGGGACAGAGGGATGATTGGCTGCAGAAGTTGGTTGAGGTCGGTTTTGAAAATTATTAAAACTATTTTTATCTATTTTTAGAGCTGGTTCGCCGCCTCGTTCGTAATCCGTGGAGATCAGAAGCTGACCGGAATGCTGGCCTGTGGTCGCGTATGGCTCCGAAGATTTGTGAGCGGGAGCTGGACCTCAGGAATTGTGCTGCTGAAGAAGAACAAGCTCAGCTACTTGGTAAGTATTCCGAAACCCACCTCTGACCTGGACGCCTATGATCGTCTGCGTCTCTTTCAATGCCGTAGATTTCGATGCGTAAATAGGTGTATGCGTACATACACGTCCTGATATTTGCCTTCAATGCTCCTTTACAATCCAATTTAGCCAGCACGGGCTGAAGAATGGATCGATATTGACATCAGAATGGTGGTGGCGATGAAGGAAAATTTGGATGCTTCGGAATGGTGTCCCAGGATATGGACAAAAGAAAAGGAGCGCGAGAAGGGGCCTGGGCCATTTTTGGTGGCTTTTGAGAATCAGTGGGTTTTTGAGGGTTTTTATCGTAAATACCGACAAACAAAATGCCGACGAGTTAAAATGCCGACAAGTCAAATACCAACAACCTGCAGGCTATCTCCAAACAAATCTATCAATTCCGGTGTTTTCGTGCCATCTTTTTTGCTGTCGGTATTTTCCTTGTCGGCATTTTTGCTGTTTTTTAATATATAACATCTATATATTTTTTCAGTTCCTTGTATATCGAATGCGATGATGGCGATGCTACAACATTATGGAGAAAAACGATTGTTGTAAGCAAAATCGTGTCGCGTAAAAATTCCGAATTCAGTCGGCACTTACCGTAAACCAGCTGGACCTGGAGCAATGCCGATTGACGCATGACAGCGTGCCCGTCCATATTGATAAGGTATCAAAATTACTGTAGTCAAATTATGTGCTTTTTAGTGCATCCGCTTCATTGCTGTTTACGGCCTTGACCAAGAGGGGTTGTATCGTAAGAACGGGAGAGTAGCGGAGGCGAAGAAAATTAGGGAATCGCTGCTGCAAGGTGAATTTAGAATTTGGGCGTTATAAAACTGTTATTAACCATTTTAAGGTTTCGATTTTTATCCTTTTTAGAACCTCGCGATTTCCAAATCACAAAGCTAACCGAAGAAACGATTTTCGCGGTCTGCGACGTGGTCCGACAGCTTTTCCGACAGCTCACAGCCCCGCTTTTCCCGCCGCACTTTCAGACCGATTTCTTCGAAGTTTGTAAGTGAAAAACCTATGGCATTTAATACTTTTTTAGTCACCAACTCGCGGGATTTGACGTATAAGGCGGAAAAGTATCGAATCATTTTCGAGAGTCCGGAGTTTCCGAGCGTAAATTACAAGTAAGTCGCATAAAAATAAAACGTATAGTAATTTTAGTACAATTCGGAGACTAGTTGCTCACCTGGTAGAAGTTTGTCAGATGTCTGAACGGAATAAGGCGAAGATTGAGAATGTGGCAAAGGTAGGAGAGAGAGAGAGAGAGAGAGAGAGAGAGAGAGAGAGCGGAGGAGAGAGTGAGCCAGAGCCAGATAGAGCCGGAGAGAGAATAAGATAGTAAGCGAGAGAGTGAGCAAGAGAGCGAGAGTATGAACGAGAGAGCTATCTAAATTTAACAATTCCAGATCTTCGGCCCTACACTATTTACTGTCGAATCGTATGCGGATCGCTATGGGCATGGAAATTCGTTGAACAACCAGGTCGGTACCCGGTTTAGCTTGGCTTGAGCTTGAGACGGAATGGGAGCATGAAGTGTTTGAAAGTTTGTAAAATCAATAAAAATAGTTTTTTGTAACATAGTGCTTTTAAAGGGACCGGGAAGGCTGAATTTTCAAGCATAAAGCTTTTGAAAATTAAAAAATCTGATGAAAATCAATTTTTTTAGATTTTCGCAAAATTTCTGACTTCACAGTGCCTTTAAAAATTTCAGACAAAGGTCAACAGTATGGAAGCCTGTTTTTTTAATTACAATGCTTTTTAAAGGAACCGTTAAGTCAAGGTTTTTAGCACAAAAAACCTTGAAACAGAACCCCCGGAAATTTGTCTCTTTTAATTTTCCGAAAATTCTGCCTTCCCAGTCCCTTAAATAATTTCGATAAACAATTTAAAATAGTTTTTATAAACCCCCAAAAACCGCATGCCAAATAACCCCACCTCGAAAACGATCACTAACCCATTTTTCAGCGGCCCACTTGGGTTTGTTACCTGGAGCAGGACCCACTGTACGAAACGCCTGTAAGCCGAATTTCACCGTAATTACCCGTATTATTATCATCATTATTATTATTACCTTTCCTTCGTATATATTATATACGTCCGCTTGAACGATGAGTTTGTGTTCGGTTTGGCCTTTGGCCAGGGCTATTCGCTTTGCATCCTTTTGGGCTTTTTAAAAATTCGATTTAACGATTATTTAAATCTGTAATTTCAGATTGGTGTGACGGCTGATATGATCCTATGCTACAGCTCAATATTTCCGGATCTCAGCGGCTTACCGGTTAATATGGGACAGATCGCTGAAGCGGAAATGAAATCACGGCTTGCCAAGGTTTGAACGATACTTTAAGTGTATATAAAATTAATTTAGCAAAGAGTTGATGGTCTCCTAGTCCCGGTTCATCTTTGGGAGCGTGATAACAGAGCTTTTAACGTCAATAGTAAGCTCGTAGCCGAAGAAGTCTGCGAGGAAGCTAGAAGACTTCATGGCTTCAACGCTCCGTTATCTGGGAAATATGCTGTATATGAGGTATATTATTAAATATAGTTAAATCTAAGCTTTTTAATTTTATTTATATAGTTGAAATTTGCCTGTTTTTAGATGATTATGAATGGCGCCTTGCAACGCCGCCTCTCAGATAACGAAAAACTTGATGATATCGTCGTTAACCGGTATTTTTCTAGAATTTTCTGAATTTTTCATTTTTTAGCTGGGTCCAATGGAGATGCAGCGATGCCTATCTTCTACTCGACCATTTTTCTGACCAATCTATGGTATAGAAAACCAATTTAAAAATTAAAAGCTTTATTAAAGACCCCAAACAGTTTCTCCGGGAAGGTGAAGGTGGCCGAGCCCGGGTCAAAAAGCTACAAGACTGTTGAGCTAGCGTTGGAGGAGGGGACGAAGGTATCGATTTTTAAAGGGCTCAACGATGCATAAATTTTTAGGTAAAAATGTACAAAAACAACAAGTTGGTGCAGACATGGTGCGTTGATTCGACGCTCTGGTTTGTGGGTGCGAATCCGAGCCGAAAGGTGAGTTTTCGGGGGTTTAAAGGTAGCGTGACAGGTGGGATCGGGGTGCTGTAGGCGGGATTCGGGCTTTAAAGGGACATGGAAGGCATGCGTATGGATTTTACCGCCACGCGACAGTAAACACACGCCGCTTTTCGTATTAACCTATTGGAAAATCTAAGTTCTCAAAATCCATAACCACGCCTGACACGTTTCTTTAAAGAAATTGTGAAGGCAAAATCTACCCCTAGTATATCTTTGCCAAATTTCCAAGATCAAAAACTAATAATACTTATTAAATTATAAAATAGTATTTTTCAGTTTTTAGCATATTTTTTACCATTTTAACTCTTTTCCCTCCTTTTTATGCTGAAACCCTCGTAAAATTCATTTTAAGCGATAATTTACATTTTCCAGTTCCCTCATGCTCACTGCTTAACCTGCTTCGTCGACCTCCACTCCCCAATCAGCGACAAATCCGGCTGGGTCTTCTCCTGGGCCAATATCATCGACCGGAACCACTTCCACAATGCCATTGTTAGGGCCCAAACTAGGGGCGAGTGCCCGGTGCTGCTTAGACTGTAAGCTACAAATTTTATACTCGTGTGATTTATCGATGTGTAGTCATTATAAGATTCTAGTCTCCTCATCTCTCAATATTATTACGTTTGGTTGTTAAAAATTTTTTATAGCTCCGCTATGGCCTAAGTTAAGCCTAAGCTAAGCCTAGGCCTAAGCCTAAACCTAAGTCTAAACATAATCCAATATCGCCTCCAGCTACGTGTCCATTGCTCCATTCTTTTCGAACATTCAGGAAATTGTGATTTCAGCTATGGTTCTAAAACACGCTTTGAGATATTTTTCGCCTTTTTCTGTGAAATTCTACACTTTTCATACGGATTTTTAGCCACGCATTTTCATACGGCCATTTCTCCCCCACGCAATTGCATATTTTCCAAATTTTTCCAAGATATTCCGCTTCTTTCCATCAGATCTGCCGATTAAGTTGTGGATTTTCTTTCCGATTCCTTGGCTTTACATATCGCGAAAAGAAATTATTGTTTTTCTAGTTATAAATACATTAAAATGTTTATACACCTCAAAAATTGCACGTTTTAACGATTTGACAACTCTGCTTTTTATTTTGATTTTTATTTAGACCATTAAATTTTGTATTAATAAAAAGCCACTCAATTTGAAGAATAGAAAATATGAACATTTTTAGTGCCAGGGTTATATAAAAAAATCTCTATTTTGTTTTTGAATACATTAAATTACAAAAAACATGGCGACTTTTCGTGTCTTGAAAACATTTTTGGCTCGATGAAAGCTTTTATTTAGGGGAAAATGATGGATTTTACAATGCTAAAAAGCGTTAGCTTTTAAGAATAGATAACATAAACATTTTTTGTGCCAAGCTTATATATAGATCAGATTTATCTATTAAAAAGCAGATCACTTTTAAATTTTTTGCCTTAGCAAAATTTCGAGCAATACCTCATACCTCCCCAGCCATAATATAAAAATTTTTCAAGCTTTCCACTTCTCAATGAGTCTCCATATTTAATTGAACAGCAGACCATCAGACGCCCCATTTTTGAGGGCACCGGGGTTTCCCTTTTTATGTTGTCTCGTTTTTTAGCGGGGCCCATGCCGCCAGCCAGCCAGCCAGCCAGCCGGGATTAGGGCCAAACGGGAAAGGGGCAATTTTTTCGTGGGGTCGAGAACGTGGTCAGTGGCGAGAGTGAGAAAGAGAGAGAGAGAGAGAGAGAGAGAGAGAGAGAGAGAGAGAACATAGACGACAAACGCCTAGGTGGGTCCAAAAAGCGGTTTTTTTGCGGCTGGTGGGAGCTGCCGTTTTTCCCCAGGGGAGAAAAGGATGCAATTGTTGCAAGTTTGGCTCAGCTGGTGAGGATGGGCGGGGATTTATTTATTTAGCACTTCTGAGAATTTTAGAGAGTTGTAGGAGGTCGTGAAAAATTGAACTGCTTGAACTCTGAGTTTTAAAGGGGTTGGAAGGGGAAAATTCTGGCAATTTGCATCTAGCCGTAGCTAAAAATAGTTTAAAATCACGTTCCGCTTAGCCTATATCTTAAAAATCAGCAATTTCAATCCATTCTAAAGGACCTAGAAACGCAAAATCTACTATATAAAGCTAAATTTCTAGTTTCCATATAGTGGACCGAATAAAGCCAATTTCGAGCTTTTCTAGTGTCCAAAATTAAAAATATAAGCATCACTTGTGGCTGTCGCTGTCCCTTAAACCCAATTTTCCGTTATATTCCTATGTACTTGCAGCCCAACAGCTCCACCCTATGCGATGTTACATGCTTTTTCTAGGCCAGACGTGGCAGCGGGGGGTCAGGTCAGCGGCGGCGGGGGGAAGTGCACAAAAAAGCAACTTTTCCCAGGGGTTCCCATGGAAGAGCGAGAGAGAGAGAGAGAGAGAGAGAGAGAGAGAGAGAGAGAGAGAGAGAGAGAGAGAGAGAGAGTGAGAGACTGGTCATTTCCCCCGTGGTAGACCCCCAGGAATGGGATCAGCTGCTCTTTTTCCTTTTTCATACGCGCGCGCGCGATGGGGGGTTGGGCCTTGCAGCCGGCCTCTAGCGCTGAGGAGGACAGTTCACAGTAGAAAAAAGCCGGGGTGTTGGTTGTGGATGGGATGGAAAGGGAAAAAGGGGGGGAAAGAGATGGGGTTGAGCGGTGCCGGGCGCCGTTCCCGGTCGTGTCAGCCGGTGTCGGGGAGGGGGGCCGCCCCCTAAAGGCCTTCTTCTTCTACAAGCCACCCCCCCCCCCTTCCGACCTTCTTCCAAACCCCGGGAGGACTGCTACTGACCGGCTATCCACATCGTTGGCTAGCACGACATCAACGAGTTTCGGCTGATTATTGCAGGAGTTGTTTTGAGCACAAAAGGCGTTTATGATGGCTGTCCGATGTGGCGATCCCCCGAATATGGTTGGTTTTTTGGAAATTTTGTATTTTTAATTTATTTATAATTCTCTCTATATTATCATGCTCCGAAACTTCCCAATTTTCACCTTATTCTCCTAGGAAAATAAGAAAAATTCTGCTCCAATTTCATAAATTCAATTTTTCTAAACATACAAAAATAATTTTTCACGATCTTCAAATCAACTTTACAACTTTAAATTCATAACTATCTTCTTAAAATTGATTTTTCCTTTTTTTCCTCACAAATCACCTCTCTCTGGAGAGTTTACGGCCTACCGTAATTTTCGAATTTTTAAAATTTTAAAAATTAAAGAAGATTCCCATTACATCAACATTTTCTGGTATTTTGTACACAACTTTCCTATATCCAAGACCAAACCACACCTTACAAGCTTTTCCTTTTTGGATTTTCCCTCTTCCCCGCCCAGACGGCACTAATTTTTTGGGCGCCAAAGCACACCTGCCCCGTGCACTTCGCGTAATCCTTGGGGGGTCCAGACAGCCTGAGAACGATCATAAAACAAGTACTAAATGTAAAAATAAGAATTATAAATTTTTCGAGTCTGTGTTTTGAGGTTTCAAGGCTCAAAAACTACTCCAATAATACCTCAAAAAATGTACAGTGCCTAGAGTACGAATTCTACTCATTTTTTACCTGTTTAAGACTAGCTATACAATTCGAATATTGAGATGATATGCCTTTAATGATAATTATTTCAAAACAACCACGGGGTGGGATTTGGCGCCATTTCCCGTTATCCGGTGCCATCTGGGTGGTTGGGGTGGGTGGGCGGGATAGGGTGGGGGGAAGTGGTAGTGTAGAGAGGTATGTAGATCAGGGTCAGCTGTCGTTTTGGGGAACCAATACCCTGGTTTTATGCAAAGATACATTGGTGTCTAATACGTGACTGCGGGTTATAGCTTAATTTCATATATCAGTGGTATAAATATCTTGTTATTGTCCATTCTTTGGCTCGATTTCTCTGATTTTAGGGCGTAAAAATGATTCCTGAGGTATATAGGATTATATTTAATGCCTTCTAATTTTTATGTATATTTATATTACGTATAAATTTTTTTAGAGCCGAGACGAATCCCCGTGGGCCGTTCCCCAAAGCCCGTGGTGGGCCGAAGCCCGTGAACCCGCCCAAATGAACCCCCGGAAGCAGGCGGCCAACACTTGGCACAACGTCTACAACTGGATCCAGTCCTCGCAGGTTAGTTTTTGATATATTAACTATAGTCTGTATTTATTAAATCCTTATATAATCCCCTTGCCGCTAAAAATTTTGAACTGAGCATGAACTTTCAGAACTCCGAGGATGCCAGCGGTTCCTCCCGTTCTTCCAGCGCCAAGGGATCTCCCTGGGACGAAGATCAGTCTCCACAATATGCTGGACCGTTCTCGGCCTGGGAGCCGCCTTTCAAGGCTGTTGCTCCTCAGCCTCAACAGCCCCGTGAGCAGCAAGTCAATGGGAATCCGTATGCCGATATCCTTGAGGTAAGTTATAGCGTTTTATGTCCAGGAATTTTTTAAATGTTTTTCTGAAAATTATCTGTTCGAAAACCTCGTGCTCAAAAAGTCATCTGAGCAAAATGTGTATTTTTGTGTGATTTATAAACGATCAATTATACCAATTTTTAAGTAGATGGTTTTTGATTAGGACTTGAAATGACCCTATCTGTATTTATTTTTCAGGGTCTTCTCAAGCTCAACATGGTCGAACAGGCCACCGCCGGCGGATCACGAGGAACAGGACCTTCCGCTTCTCCCACCTCCTCCAACAACACCTCCTTCCCCACCGAGGATTTCCTCAACCGCCCTGGTCCTGCTCAGGGCCCTGCTCAACAACCCCCATCCCCGCAGCGTCTCCTGTCTGGCCGCCAAATCGTCGGCCAATCCAACCGGGAAACTTTTGAACAACCCCGGGTCCCGCAGGGAAATGAGGAGTGGTTCGCGCAGCAAATGGAGGCCCAGCGACAGCAACAAGCTCTGTATGAACAAATGTGTCAGATGATGATTAGATCGGCACAGGTTCAGGTAACCGAAATATTTAGTATATTTTATTTAACTCGTTTTAGCAGCAACAACAACCCCAAGCAACCCCCGCCTGGCCTACCACCCAACCTTCCCCAAGTCGTGCGACAATTGCCCGAAAGAACTCCGCAGCCATCGAACTCCACGGCCACCTCGATGAGTGCACCGAAGAGTATCGTCAACTCGAGAAGGAGCGCAAGCAAACTGAGGCCGAACTGGCTCGTCATCACCTCGGGAAGAAGATCTCGTCCTCAAATGGCCTCCCCATCCCACGACTCCCGAACGCCCCTTCTCGCCTTGATCGACTGATCGTAGACTTCCACCGTGAGCACGCCAGATTGGTGACGCTGCTGGGGAAGATGGAGGTGCTTCGGCGCGAGCCGCTCCCGCTCAGTATCCACAACGCTCATGCTCACCTGCAGCGGGCGGTGGCCGTGCTCCAGAATTGTCGTCAGACGGAGAGGGCGTTGATCCTACAGACACTTCGAGGAGAGATGGTTCACTACGACGAGGAGAAAGGTGAGGAAGCCATTTTTTGTTTTTAGGAAGTATCGCCCTAGCTTTACGAAAGTGGTCAGGCTGTCGAAATTTGTGGTTGACAATAACAACCTTTTTGTGGGTGTGTGCTAATATCGCGGGGGGATTCTCTATTCTGAGGGGGGGCGGGGGGCTTTTTCCGGTGGGGAGGAAGGGTGGGGAAATCGAGGTTTTTTTGTGTGAGAGAGAGAGAGAGAGAGAGAGAGACCCCGGGCGGGACAGGCACGACCCCCCACGACGACCGATGGGGGGATCGGGAGCAGAGCCTGGCACGGACTCCCCAGCTGAGGTCATCCACACACACACACACGCTACTCATTTCCCGCCCAAACTTATCGAAAAAGTGTTGGGAAGGGGGGAGGGGTGGGACCTGGCTGCGTTCTCACATACCCCCTTTTTCCTCATTTCAATTAGCGGGTGCTGGGGGGAGGATTTCAAGGTTGGGGAGGATGAAGATCAGGGGCAGATGGTGAAAAAGATGGGGATCCGGGTGGGGAGGTCATGGTTTTATAAAAAGCGGCCTTGTCTGCCGGGGTTTGAATCATTGTGTTTCGTCGGGGTATGGAAATCCGGGGGAATTAAATTTAAAGGGGCTGAGAAGCTGGAATTAAAAAAGTTTTACGGCCATGAGTATCAGCTTTGTCAGAGCATACTCAGAGACTATCCAAATTTTTTTACTTAGGCGAATTTTTAGACCTTGAGCATCAGCTTTTAGTGCCCAATCAAATCAACTTGAAATTTTTTCGATTTACTTGTCTGGGCCATTTTTTTAGATTTTGAGCATGAGCCTTTGGTGTCTAAACTCAAGGAACATTCATTCTTTTGTACTTTTTAGTCACTTACTTCAATTTTAGGTTTTGAGCTTCAACTCTAATGCATAAACTCATAAAAATTCAGTTTTTAAGGCTTACAGGGTGGCCCGAAAGAGTGGTGACCGAAACTTTTTCGATTTTCTGAAAAACTATAGATCAAGGAAAGCTCATTTTAGCACATTATATTCCTTAAACAATTATCTTCCACATGGTATAACCACTTTTTTATTTGTTTGCCTCAAACTCGGAAAAACTGGCGCGGAAGCGGATGGAAAACGGAGGTGCTGGCACGCAGACACTGAGCACGAATTTGGCTCATAACTCGATGAAGACTTTCGCGAGCAAACCCAAAATTGAATCGGGAGTAGCCAACACTTTGGTCTTTCAGACCGGCTACACAAAAAAAATTCTGCAGATTCGGATTGGGGCTGCAGGATGGCTCTTTTTGGAGAGCAAAAAACGGTTTGGTCAAAACCCTTAATAACGGGCCTCAGTCACTTGACCAAGTTGGAGGGTTCTGAGCCATAGCTGCACCACGAGCTTCACCGGAAACGTCAGGCACGATCGTTAAAGAGATGGAAAAGGCCTCGTTAAGTATTTTCTTCCACAGGAATTTATTTTAGATTTTGCCGATTTCTAAAAATCCCTGACTTTGAATTCAGGAATTACAATTCCTAATGTAAAAGCTAGACTGCGTTGTGCGCTGAGCGTATGCTCAAATTTAGCCAACATCTATAGGAAACAGAATCCATAACCCCGCCTTGCCCAAACCCATAAGGGAACAGAGAAATTCTGTGTGCAAGCTGCGGTCACCACTCTTTCGGGCCACCCTGTAGTTCGCTCATTTTAATCACCAAGTTCAAATTTTAGCTTATGAGCATCAGCTTTTAGCGCCTCAGCACATAGAGAATCTAAAAAACAGAAATTGGTTATTTAGACCAATTTTGCGTTCTTGAGCGCAAACTTTTAGTTTTGAGCACCAGTTTTGAAAATCCAAGCTAATAATAACCTGCGCTTTTAGTGATTTTACGCTTTAATACCCTCTTTCTCAATCTCAACCCAATTTCCCCACCCTTTTTGCAATGAGCTCAAAACCCAGGCGGCGGCGAGGCTGCAAAAAAGACTCGCAGGGCGGTGGGGGACCCACCCCGAGACGGAGAGAAGCGTATGGCCGTGCCTGGCACTTTGCGTGCCCCCAAACCCCCCTAAAAAGAAGCAGAAAAAGCGAGAAAAAGAAAGCGGCCGGGCTGCCCGGGTCGGTCTCCCCGCGCCTCTACCACAAATAAAGGGAGGGGAATGAGTAAAAAACGATCTCAACTCCCTTCTACCCGTTCCGAACCCCACCCCAAAACGTCCTTTTATTGGCCTTTCAAGAAAGTGGCACTTTGATGGGGGGAAAGTTTAGAGAAGATGGGTGGCTTGGGAACATTGGCCCGGGTGGGTCGTTTCGGGTGGTCCTGGAGATTGGAGGAGATTCAAACAATGGAATTCAGATGCTAAGCTATCCAAAATATAGCGCTAAATAGAGTCTAAAAATCCATTTCAGAAGCCGTGAACTTGTCGAAGGCGCTGATCACCGTCAGGAAGGCGGCGCTTCGCGCGCGAGCCGCCAACTGGGTTTCGCTGGCTTCGACGATTGGTGTGCAGGATGTGGCTGAGCAACAAGTGAGATTTAGTAAAAATCTGATCCCTTTAAGTCAATTTAAAAATTCTAGAACATCGAGAAATCCAAAACCTCTCATTTAACCCTCCTTTTTATCGTATTTAGGTATAACCCCTTTATAAATCGAATTAAGACCCTATAAGCATATTTTAACTATAGAAAAATAATGGAGAAATCGGGCTTATACTACGTGGTTTTAATAATATAAAGTATTTAAGTAAGTTCTAGTAAAAAATCTAGGAAAAATAGGGTTTAGACTAGGTTTTTTGGTTGCTGTAATTTAAGGAGTTATAAACTATTAAAAAAGAAAGACATTTAAGAGTTTCTAAAATATTTTATATAGATTAAAACACGATTTATTTGAATTTTTCCAGGTAATCGACCGTCTGATCACTTCCGACTTCACCGTCCCCCCTCCGCCAATCCGCAGCCGCCCCGTCAAGAAATAGATGTCACTACACCTTTAATACCATGTACCCAACCTGATAGAAATTCCAAATGTCCATTACACAACCCAGGGATCCCACCAATACGAACTTATCCGCCTATATATGCATTAATACGGACCCGCCTAAGCCCAAGCAGAGGAGTAAGCCTAAGCCTAAGCTAAGCCTAAGCTAAGCCTAAGCTAAGCCTAAGCTAAACTTAAGCTAAGCCTAAGCTAAACTTAAGCTAAGCCTAAGCTAAACTTAAGCTAAGCCTAAGCCTAAGCCTCGTTTCCACGCCTTATCCAACCAATCCCCAGCCCTTTTAACCCCGGCCAACTGCTCAAAGAAAACCCAAATTAGCTCCAAATCCCAATTTTTCCTTTTATGTATGTACATATACGCACAATTTTTGGTTTTGTTTTTTGTTCCCTTATTTCCCTTACTTTACTTTTCCCTTTTACTTTTCTAGCTCTTCTATAGAAATTACAGGCCCCGGAACACTCATGAATCTTCTAGCAAAACTTTGAATAGCTGCTTCGCCCCCACCACTGTAAAATAGGCTTTTCCTCCCTGAATTTTCCCCATCTTGTGCATACACTCACTTCTAGACATTTCCAAAACTTTTAGTTTCCTACTTGCTCCTCTTTACGTTGTTGTTTTACGTCTACTACGGGGTGTCCGGAAAAACGGCTCGAGGAACCCGTAGGAATCTTTGATTTTTATGACTTGGGTATGTATCGAAAGCTCTTGAAAAGGAGAATTTGGATATTTTGTCTGATTTTTTAAATTTTAATAACTTTTAGATTTCATAAGATTTTTTGACAAACCGGTTGAAACGGTTGTTTACAAAAATCTGAACTTCTGGGTCTGGAAATCCAAAAATTTGGGATTTCTAAAAAATCGGAAATCATATCTGTATTCGCCTTTTCGAGAGCTATCGATAGATGCCTAAATCGTAAAAATCGGACATTACTACGAATTTCGAGAGGCACTTTTTGGGACACCCTGCCCATACCACACACGCTTTTCGGTGAATATCCCAACGCGCTCCGGTTTTAACTTTATTATCCCGTGTTTTTGAATACATATTAGTGTCCAACACACCCCGGTAGCCCGCTTTTCCCCCATCTGAATGCATATAATGAACCCACCGCTTACATATACTATTGTTTTCACGTTGTTTTTTTTAGTTTTTTCTTGTGCAGTGCCCTCACCCATTCACACCTATACACGGCCCGATTTGTCTTGGCTCGTGTCTTGCTGATCTTACGTCTATGCAAAAATGATCTTCCCCCAATAGAAATGCAGCACCACTTTTGAAATAAACTTTGAGCACGAGATTGGCTTGAAAAATACACTTCAAATGAGGAAAAATACCCCTAATAAGCAACAAAAACAATTTAATTCAAATTTTCTCGAAAAAGAAACCTGGATAATTTCAAATTCAAGCATAAAGGCCCAAATTCTGTTTTAAATTGGAGCGAAAATTTACTCCCGAATCGAAACTACCTTTACAGCCTCGAAAAAACTTAAAAATCATAAAATTGCTATAACAAAAAGCTTCAAAAAAATTCCAGTGCCATAAAAATTCGAATTCTCAGATTTTTACGTAGTTTGTAAGCGTAAAAACTCATAACTGGCTGAAAATTTTGCGCATTAATAGCGTCTCTTTGGAATTTGCATAAAATTCGCATCAATAGATCTCAGAAAACAAATTTTTGCACTAAAAAGTCTAAATTAAGTACGATCGAAAATAATTTACAAGAATGTTCTTGATTTCTATGTTTAACTTGCAAAAATTTTTAGCTTTTAGTAATATTTTCTCCATTTTAAACAATTCCTCTTCCCTCCCCTCCCCCTGTCGATAGAAGCCCCGAGGAAGTACACCTCCTATTTTCCCCCGGCTTCCCGAAATGGACAACCTGGAACTTTTGGTCTTTGTTGTCATCTAAAAAATGTTTTTCTGAATTGATTACTATATATTTTGTATATTACTCATTTTAACGAATTCCTAGTAATTTCAAACCTATCTTAAAGCTAAATAACGCTAAAATTCATTGGTCCCCTCATTTTTCCTCAATTTTCAGGTCAAAATGTTTCTCGACATCCTCTCCACAACCGCCCTAGCATCCACATTTGCATTTTTCGCGTGCGGAATTCAAGTATGCTATAAAATACGCGAAAATGGACATACTGAAGGAATAAGTAAGTCTAGAAATCCATAAACTTAATTAATAAATCCACTTTAGACCCTGCCCCATTTCTAATGACGCTATTATCTTGCGTAATGATGTTGCAATACGGAATCTTACGGTAAGTTCCTAAAAATTTATAAAATGCTGTTTTGAAGGGATGACAACGTGGTGATACTCTGTAATTTGGTGGGAGCCGTTCTGGAGGGAATCTACGTTGCTTACTATTATTACATGACACATTTAAAGGTATTTTGAAGCCAAAAACGGTTAAGGATTTTGAAATTTAGCGAAGAATCAGAAGATATTTATTTATCGAGCTTTTTGCGGTGCTAGCGATGGAATGGATGGTTCAAGGGATGGGGCTGCCCGATCGTGGATTGGCCGTTTTGGGCGTCGTCTGCATGGTTTTGAATATTTCTGCAATTGCGGCACCTTTGGCATCTGTTCAGCAGGTAATTATTGAAATCATTTTTATTTATTTATTTTATATTTACTTTATTTATTTATTATTTTTAAAAACATTTTCCTTTTCCCAAAGGAAAAGGAAAATGTTTACCATGTCATCGAAAAAATCCAGAATTTATGCGTTTCCCCAAGATTCTCTGCTAGTTTGCCTCCACTAAAAGTTTGTTTTTGACAATTTTCCAAGAATCTCGGCTAGTTTGCTCTTTCTCTTCTTTCCATTCTCTCTCTCACTCTCGCTCTCTCTCTCTCTCTTTCTCTCTGTCTCTCTCCTGCCCTCGCGCTCTCCGTCTCTCTCGCTCTTTTTCTCTGTTTCTCTCTCCCTCTCTTTCTCTCTCGCATTATCCTTCTCCCTTCTTTCTCTCTATCTCTCTCTCTTTCTCTCTCTTCAATCAAAGGGCTTTTTAAGAGGTTTACTCCGGCTTCTTCCAGGTCTTCCGCACAAAATCCGCAGCCTCTCTGCCAGTCCCAATTTGCATAGCCTCCTTCATCGTCTCGATCCAATGGCTCCTCTACGGCATTTTAGTCGATGATCCTGTCATCAAGGTAATTCTAAAAACCCAAAATAAATTTAATATATATAATTACAGTATCCTAACTACATCTCCACTTTTCTGTCTACCATCCAATTGGCGTTGATCATAATTTACGGCACCGCCCGAAAGCCAAAGATCATCTACATGGATGAGTTGTAAATTTTCAAAGATTTGAATATTTTTTCCTCTGTCTACCCGGTACTTTCCCAGCAATCAGTTTGTGATATAAATATTGTTTTAGTGATACCGCCTGTGTTTTTTTAGTCAGCTTATTGTGGGTTTCTTGTGATCTCTGGTGTTTTGCATAAAGAAATAATTTCAGTTTTGAGAATAGATCATCAAGCAGAGGCACTGTTTCTGGAAAAAAACGATAAAACAAACTGAAAAAATGCCCTCGTGACAAAAAGCGGTGTTTTTGCATTAACGGGGGAGGGGGCGGCGAATGAAATTTGACATTTAAGAACAAATCGGGTTTTTATATAGGGTGTTTATTGATTTTAGCTATATTTAAAGCGGAAAACTATCTGAAAAATGAAAAAAAAATTTCTTGAAAATCGGCCATTGATGTTGGAATAATTATATTTTTTTAATTTTCTTAAGAAAATAGTAAGTTTTTGCCACTAGGAACAATCCACAAGAATTTAAATCCACAACTTTTACTTCTATTCATATAAGAACAATTTCAATCAATTTACTTACATTTCTTAAATACCAAGCAAGATATTTTGGTTGCCATATGATCCAAATATGTGGCCAAATTCAAGGTGTTTAATTAAGCTTCCTGCAAAATCGGCGATAGCCTTCGGCCATGCGTAAAGGACTTGGGAACCATCGACGGTCTCCCGTCAATGGCACCCAGCCTCTCAAAAATTACTTTCGGCGAATTGGTTTCGCGCGAAGTGTTTGTATGACGGTATTATTCATACCGTCATACAAATCATCGATATTAACCAGGAATTATCGAGCATTGCAATCGAGTGCTAATACCATGTGGGGGTGGTCCAGACAGGGGTCGGGTCGGCCAAGGGGAGAGAGCATGCAAAGGGCGCTCACTGGGGGCCTGTGGGCACAGGCCTGCAGCCCCATCCGCCAATACCCTTCAGATCCAATTTTTAATTCATTTATCTGCTTCAAACGTTTTAAATTAAACTTATTATCTTCAATTTTTTGCGCTGAATCCGATTCTGCTGCTCGTTTTCGCTTCACATGTATGGTTTCTGAGATATGATAGTTTTTGTAGATTTTCATCTCGAAAACCTCTGGTTTGCGCCTTTTTCCTTCCAAATAATTGGTTTTTGTCACCTATAAAAACTTTTTTTGGTTTTTCTAAGGCTGCTTGAGAAAGCTGTGGGTTTTTCCTGATGTTTTTCGATGAGTTTTGCGCTGTTTTGTGGAAATCCTTTGAGAAAACGCCGGTTCTAGCACAGAAATCAACAAAAAAAGCAAAAAGTTTCAAAATTGCACTTTATATAATCATTTTTGTGTGTTTTTTTTTCTAAATTTTAACTTGCTTTTTACGCACCTTTATTTGCCGCTTTTTCACGTTTTTCAGTGGTAGGAAACGACGCCTCATCTGGCTAAAGATTATACTCACTAATGTGTAATGACAATACAACCGTTATCAAACTTCTCGGCTTACTTTATTTTGTAAAGACTTGTTGTTATAAAACTTTTTGTGTTTAAATCTTACTTTTGTAACCAGTGTTAAAAGCCTATAATTACTGTAGGCTTCCTCCTCGACGCTGAAGTCATAAACCAAAGAAATGCTATGTAGCAGATCCGATAAACACTTTTCATAATAGTTGGCATTTTCTTAATCAAAATTGTACGCTTTTTGCGATTAAGAACAAAACAAAATGCTTTAGAAAGACCTTGCTTCCTCTTTGATATCAAAGAGGATTTGAATTAAATTCATTAGAAGACAATTAATTTGCAAACTTACAACTTCTTAGAATACGAGATATTAAAATGAGCGGCATAGAAAGGCATAGAAAGCGGCAGCTTTCCCAATTTAGAAAATTCATCGCATCTCAGCCATGCTACATTAACTGCCCCGCTCGGCGGTCTGAGGATATGTTATCGGGAAAGACCAGGTCGATTTCGTGGGCGCACAGGGGGCGCGCTTTAGAAGACGGCCCGCAAGCTTCCCGAGGCTTTGAGCTGTTTTTAGCGTCAAAAAGCAACTAGTAATGCAATATAAAAGTAATAATAAAAGAATTTTGCTTATTTATTATTCTTTTTAGTCGCATCTATGTGAGTTATATCAATTCCCAGAATTGGAGGGTTTTTTTGCCTGTTCTCTTGTCTGCCTCAATTTTCTAATCGAGTTTCGCGTTTTTCAAGAATGCTGGTTTTATGGTAAAACTAAATTAGTTTATAGTTTTTACCAGGGGTGTTTAAATTGCACTAATAAGCAGAAAAAATAACGAAAAATTTAGGCTTTTGGGTCTTTGACATTTAGTGCGATTGGTAGGCTGATGGGGCGGCTTCCACAGACATCAAATACCACCTAAAATTGTAGAAATTCAAATTTACACAAACTTCAATCGTATAATTAATTGCAGAAATTTATTTACCCTTGGATCCTGGGCTTGAGGAGTCGTTTCCAACACCATTATGACCAGTTTATCTTTTTTGGAATCTCCCTCGCCACGTGCTATCTAAAATAAAATAAGGAATGTGTTTAATAATTTCTATGATAAATATAAATGATGTTATTAGGAAATTAACGTACGCTTAATGCGACAGTCTGCCCAGGGTCGATAAACGTAAAAACTGGCGAAACTTTGTAGAGCCGATTATCCGAACATTTCACTTTTACGGCAACTCGTGCTGAAAAATAATGGATTAAATTGAAGGATTATGCGATTATAATTTAACCAGCGCCCAAAACCCGCTTCGCGGGCCTTGGGCGCTGGAATGTGGCCTTTGCATAAGAAATTTGACTTTCCGATAACTGGGGTCCTTCGGAACCCCTCCCCCCGGCCGACCACACGCGCGCGTGCAACTTGCAAGAATGAAGAAATTTCTATTTTTTCACATTATGCAAATTACCCCCAAAAATGAATAAAACCGGCTTTAACTTTGTAAACTTGTATTTTATCAAAATTCTGAAAGCGCCATTGGAAACAGAAGGGTCGATTTCCCCAAGCGACGGAGAATTAGAGCATTTTATGCACAGGAAGGCCCTCAAATCGAGCCTCGAAAGTGACATCCACACACACACACACACAGTTACACGCCAAAATTATATTATAACCAGCGCCCAAAACCCGCTTCGCGGGCCTTGGGCGCTGGAATGCGGCCTTTGCATGAAAAATTTGACTTCCCGATAGCTCGGGTCCTTCGGACCCCCTTCCCCCCACCGGCCACACACGCGAGTGCAACTGGCAAGAATGAGGAAATTTGTATTTTTCCGCATTATGCAAATTAGCCCGCAGTAACCCCCAAAAATGAATAAAACCGGCTTTAACTTTGTAAACTTGTATTCTATCGCAATTCTGACAACGCCATCCGAAACAGAAGGGTCGATTCCCCCGGGTGACGGAGAATTAGGGCATTTTATGCACGGGAAGGCCCTCAAATCGGGCCTCGAAAGTGACATCCACACACACACACACAGTTACACGCCAAAATTATATAAGGTAGGACGCCAAAATTATATTATAATTTAATATACTTTTTTATTTGAATTCCACCAACTTTTTCCCTTATTTGTAATCGAATGCTGGCTGGCCCCGCCCTCAACGCCAAATGAAGCGGCGCGTGGCTGGACGGCCACCAGGGGCGCTGAGGAGTGGCACGAGCATTCGCATCTGTAAATAATTAAATATTTAATGGATATTTGAAGCTTTAAACGTCTTAAACATAATCTGAAAATCGGGTTAACCAAAAAAAAGATCAAAAACTGACCCCCAGCGGCCGGAAATTCTGGAGGATTGTACGAGGCCTTCCAGATCCTCGCGAGTAATGGCTGAAAAAAGATTATCAAATCGGGTTGCTAGATTTGGGAATTTTTACATTATTAATAGATCATCTTTTAAATTTTAAAACTATAGAAAAATTATATAAAATCATGTCGAAATCTCAATTTTGCACAATTTAATGACATTTTTAATTGTGTTAGTTGGAAATTTAATGAAAAATGAACCGTTTTAATCTTGAATGAAATAATTTAAGCATTAAACTGAATATATCAACAAGAGGATTGCACATTTTTGAGGTTAAAACTATAGAACAGTGCTTTTAAATGGAATATTGAAATCCGAAAATTCGAAAAATTTGATTTAACATAGTTTTCTTTTCTATTAATTTTCTCTAGCCTCCTAATGCCTTGAACTACAAAAGGCAGCATACTACACAACCCAATTTCCTCAAATTCCCCCGGAAACCACCCACCCTTAATTAAACTAGATCTCAAAAATGACAACTAGTCAGAAAGTCGCCCCAAAAAGGGCTACGTCCAGAACGGCGGCTATATTTCTGGGTTGTGGTGGGGGGTTGAAGGGGTTTTGGTGGCGGCAAAAGGGGGGTATGTGAAGAGTGGTATAGCTATAGAAGGGTTGAGAAATGGGAAGTCCCTAGGGGGGAATTGCTGCTTACCGATGATGGCTCCGACGTGTTGGCCACGATGGGCCAGTCGGCTGGTCGCCGCTTTTACCGGTGGCCCGCGGCGGTCGTCTCGCATTTGCATTTCGGCGAGTGGCATCTGGGAAGGTATTTTTTTAAGTGTATCGTACCGTAACATGAAAAATCTAGAAAAAAACACGATTTTAATTTTTAGAGGTACAAGCAAGGTAAGAGGCACAACTTTTCAGCCTTCACCAGTCCCGTAAAGGGACAGCGACACCTGGAACTTTCCTACAGCAGTACCAGGGGGTCTGGAAAAGTTTTTCGGGGCGTAAAAACACGTAAAGACCTAAAAACAACACAATTTTAGTGTTTAAAGGTCCAATTACGAAAAAATATTTCATAATTTAGCCTTCACCAACCCTTTAAAGTGACACAACACCTGAAATTTTATCTACAGTATGATCTTGGGTCCGAAAGTGGTTTTTTAAGCGTATTCATACCTTAAAGACATTTAGGGTAAAGGAAGGACAAAATCAAAAACAAACAAAAACCCCAAAACCCCAAAATGTTTTATGACGCTTAAAACATCAGGGGGAATTGAAAAGCCGTGCGAAAGTAAGTGTTTCTCCCCGTCCCCCGCCCTACTTTGAAAACCCAAAAACCAATGACTGACAAAACCGCCATTGTCTCAAACCAAGGCGGGCAGGGGGGCAGTTCAAAAACAAGGAAGACCCCCTAACCGCACCCACTTGGAAACAATTCGCTTTTCAGGCACCACCACTTCTGAATTCCGGAAAGGAAAAAAGAAGATGGTTGGGTTCGAAATGTCAGGTGTGGGGGAGGAGGAGGAATTTTAGTAGTTTTTGGGGGCGGATGAGAGTAGTTTGGAAAGTTGGAAGAGTTGGAGAGGTCGTTTTATATGGAGAGAGAGAGAGAGAGCGAGAGAGCGAGAGAGAGAGAGACAGAGAGAGAGAGAGAGAGAGAGAGAGAGAGAACCGGGCAAGAGTTCCGAATTCGCTTGAACATCGAATATTCTAGGAGGCCGTCCTACGAAATATTCCGCGGCGCGACCATTGGGGCCGTGCAAAGTTGTATAGAAAAGTACACGTAAAGTACGATTTAAGGAAGAATGGGGCGTAGAATATACAATATTCTAGTTTCAAAAATATAAATAACGATTATTTTCTAATTTTTGCCGTTTCGTTTCGGTTTTACAGTATTTTCAAAAGCTATAAAGCTCTGAAGTTCTAATACTATACATTTAAAGAAATATAGATGGTATAAAAATTTAAATCAGTGATACAATAATGACGTATGAAAATATAAATTATGCAATAAATTATTTATTAAGGAATTAAGGATTTACTAGCAGATTTTACAGTATTTTCTATCACCTTCTAATTTTTTTAATTATCCAATCTAGAAAGCAGAAAGTATTAAAAAACTGGGAAATAGCCAATTAATAAATTATTAAAGAAGGTCACAGCACTTTTAAAAATTTTAGTGCGCGAGTTTTTAATCCATAATTAAGCAAGTAGTATAAATTATAAAAACCCGACTAGTGCCACGTTTTCACTTCCCACCTACCCAGGTCCACGTAACAACACACTAATTTTTTCCGCCTAAATGCTACCCACGGATCAGACCCCTGATTATTGCAGTTTTCCACAAAGCACCAAAGCGCACCCACAGCCCCGGATGCGAGCGACGAAAATAAAATAGGGCAAGCTTCAAAGATTACATAGAAGGTGGGGGGAGGGGTAAAATGGGTATTGTTGAGCGTAATACATCCTTGGAAAAGCGTGTTGAGTTGGGGGTCCCTGGGCGACGATTATGGGCCCCCAGCGAACGGAACGCATATGTGGGGTGACAGGGGCTCAGGTGGCCCAGGTGAGAAAAATTTAGGTCTTGATAGGTACAAAATAATGTAAAAAATTGATTACAATTTTTACGATTTAAATTCACGATCCAAAATCCGTTCCAGCCTCCCCCGGGTCGTCATGGGGTTGATGAAAGGGCCGACGAGTGGCAAGCACTTTTTGGCGGTGGTGGCGGGCCCTTCTCGAGAAAGAATGGCGGAGGATGAGTGATGGGTGTGGAGCCTTCGAAACCACCCACACATATCCATTCTGTCTCTCACTCTCTCTCGCTCTCTCCTGCTCACTTCGCATCCACGAATTATGCACGCTTCAATTCGGGAGCATCGCATGAGATTAAATGGGGATTGGGGTGGAGATTGGGGGCTGGATGTGGAGCTTGAGGTGTGAAGCTGTAGGGGATGAAGCTCATAGCGGGTTCGAAGGGGATTAGGAAGGCACGACTATGGATTTGGTCGCTTATCGATTTTCTGTGAATTCGAACGAATCCGCCATGCGCAACGCATGCTTTTCGACCAGGGTGAAAAATACAAGCGTGTGGCGTGAAACGCGTCGTGTGTAGCTTGCAGACGTGTCGCCTGCAGCGTAGAGACGCGTCGCATGCAACGTGCAGACGCGTCGCAGGTAGCGTACAGACGCGTCAAGTAGCGTATAGACGCGTCGCGGGTAGCGTATTGACGCGTCGCGTCTATCGGTCAGACGCGTCACGTTTCGCCGGTGCAATGATTGTCAAAACCTAGTCAAATCTGGAAGTGCGCCTAACTGTTTCACTTGATCAACTAGCTAGGAGCTATAATTTCCTTAATGAATTAGTCGTCGATAAATGTGTCTTTATTTTTTCTTTAAAAGTAAAAGAAATCCGACAACCCAAACTAGCAGCGAATAATGCGAATTTCAAGCAAAATCCGCCCCAGGAGCTTAACTTCATGAAAAACTAAAATAAAACATTGAATTTAAATAAAATCTGGTCTGAAGTGGGCGTTCGTGTGACCCCGGAATTTTATGCCCGGATTCGAATGTTGGAGGGTCGGGGGGAAGCGCAGCGCCGGAAATTGGGTTACTTTTTTAGAAGCGCCCACCACTCGAGGAGACATGCCAAAAGGCGAGGCCAAAACTGAGGAACTCCAAAAGCGGTGGCGGATTTTTAAAGGGACCTGACAGTGTTAAAAGCTACCGTACTTAGAAGCACCGCGTAGTTGTCTAGATCTAGTTGAATAAAGGGTGGAGACTATGAATTCCCCAGTCCCTTTAAACTATACCTAGCAATGTTCTATGTCCTAGCCACTAAAGACCAACCTCCCGCGCTTAGCAACGCTCGGTGTAAAGAGGTGTTGAAGGGAATTTTCAGGTGGTGCTCTATTCACGCCGACGTTTCTTTCTACTTCTTCTGGGCGCCCTGCTGTGCCTTTGCAGGGGGTGGGGGGCTATTTCCGCTTGACGACGTGCTTGACCACAGTTCTGAATAGATGCGATATGTTGCCGAACGGAACCTGATGTCAGCGCCGGAAATGGTTAAGAAAAGTTTTAGGTGGTGGGAAGTTCTTTCTGGTTTGCACAGAACATTAAAGTGGGGGTGTCGAGAAGGCTGAGAAAATCGCAAAAAAGCCCACAAAATTTAGCTATGTTGTACAGGATTTAGCCCAAGCCTAAGCCAAGCTCAGTCTAAGCCAAGGTCAAGCATGAGCCTGTGCCTAAGCCTAAACCTAAGTCAAGCTTAAGCCTAATTCCGGGCCTAAAGCCAGACGAAGCCTAAAGCCACAACTTAAGCCTAAGCCTAAGCTAAATCCAAGCCAAGCTTAGGCCTTAGCCTAAAACAAATCCAAGTTTAAGCCTCAGCCTTAGCCTAAACCTTAGCCAAGCTTATGCCTAAGCCTGCCTAAGCCTAAACCTAAGCCAAGTTGAAGCCTAATGCCCTTTTTATTAATGATATAAACTTTAAGGTCACCTTTAAAATTTTCACATTTTTCATTTCATTTTTACACTTATTTTTCGTTTTAAGGGCACCATGAACTCAAATTTTCCCTTCTTTTCCTTTTCCCCCAATGAGTTTTCAGCTTCGGCGATGCTTGACTATTATCGAGCTGTTTTTGCGGAGAAGCCAGCCACCCTGTTTATAAAGCACCCTTATAAACAATAGAAAAATAACTGCCATCGTCGACGATAAAAGCCATTCTCCACCCTGCTGCTCAGATCAAAAATGAAACTCCTTCTCCTCCTCGCCGCCCTTTTCAGCCTCGCTGCTTGCTGCAAAAAGTTCGACACTTACGCAGGGCTATACTGCAAATTCGATAAGGAATCGACGCCGTGCTTCCAGCAAGGAGGTATTTTCGAACTTTTCGCTCTAAAAAGTGTATTTTTTAGTTGACGCGGAAAAGAAGCGATGCTGCGATAAGGGTTGTAATTTGTCCGATTTTAACAAGGTACTCGTTGCTCCCGAATTTCTGAAAATTGCTTTTTAGGACCGTCTTTGCTGCTTCACCCAAGAATGCCTGAATCGCTGCTACCCGGGAAAAGGATACAAAATTGGAAATGTTTATTGAATAAATACACGTTTTTAGCCCTTCATAAAGTTTAAAAACCTACACCTTAACAATTAAGGTTTAGATTTTATATGAGCTTTATATCCTGTTCAAAATCAAAAAATTAAAATCGTTAAATCCTAGCAATATTGTATTTTGATTACGCACTAGTCTGCAGCACCTTAGGCCGAATTTAATTTTATAATTGTTTTTAACTGCATTTGGAGTGGAAAAACCATCAAAATTTTTAATTAAAAATTTTGAATTCGAAATTCTGGACCAAAATCGTCATTTCTCGTCGAAAAAACCACATTTTTGTATTTTCTTAGGAAAAAGTGTAAGTTTTTTGCGATTAGGAATAATACAAAACGATTTAGACAAACTTCCTTGTTAATACGCTTTAGGAGACGGCGCGCATGCTTCCCCGGGCGATTTTAGCTGTTTTTAGCGTCAGAAAGTTAATAACAGTAGCATAAAGAAACTATGAAAAGTGTTTATCGTATCTGGTACATCGCATTTCTTTAGTTTATGACTTCAGCGTTGATGAGGAAGTCTACAGTATTTATAGGCCTTTTAACACTGTTTACAAAGGATGTCATTACACACTAGTGGCTATAATCTTTAGCTAAATAAGGCGTCGTTTCCTGAAAAACCACTAAAAAAGCACTTATATTGCGGCAAGAAAACCCCGCAACTTTCTCAAGCGACTTTAGAAAAACCAAAAAAGTTTTTATAGGTGACAAAAACCAATTATTTGGAAGGAAAAAGACGCAAACCATACGTTTTCGAGATGAAAGTATACAAAAACCATCATATTTCAGAAACCATACATGTGAAGCGAAAACGAGCAGCAGAATCGGATTCAGCGCAAAAATTGAATATAATACGTTTAATTTAAAACGTTTTTAAGCAGATAAATGAATTGAAAATTGGATGGGAAGGGCATTGGTGATGGGGCTTCAGGCCTGTGCCCACAGGCCCCCAGTGAGCGCCCTTTGCATGCTCCCTCCCCTTGGCCGACCCGACCCCTGTCTGGACCACCCCCACATGGTATCAGCACTCGATTGCAATGCTTGATAATTGTTTTTGACTATCAATGTAGTTGTATGACGGTATGAATAATACCGTCATACTACACTTCGCGCGAAACCAATTCGCCGAAATAATTTTTGAGAGGCTGGGTGCCATTGACGGGAGACCGTCGATGGTTCCCAAGTCTCTATGCATGGCCGAAGGCCATCGCCGATTTTTTCAGAAATTCCCGCATGAGGAAGCCGAAATTCTAAACTTGATGTCGAATAGTCATCAGACGACTTTTATAGGAAAACTCATGAGGTAGGTGGCGAAATGTTTGGAGGCAAATTGTCTAAATCTGAAGGTTCTGTAGTTTTGAAAATACCGCCAGGAATCTGCCGCTCCTCTGCCCGGACTTCAGCTTTAGCTCCTCCTCCTCCTCCTTCGCCTTGAGCATGAGGTCACTCATAAGCCTAAGCCAAAGAAAATCATAAACATAGGCCTGCGTCAGACCTAATTCTGAAAGGCTTTTATTGACACGCAATATTCCATCCGACGACATCTTGTGCCGAATTTTGCGGTGATTCCAGAACTTGCAGAATTCCGTAAGAGAAACTTTTGTAAGAGAACCCACTGTAAAAATCGGAAAAGAGAAAATCAGCAAACAGATAAAGCAGCTGAAAAATTTTTTTGCTATATTTTTCAAAGAAGTGCGTTTTAGGCCGCTCTTTTACTTTGGCGGTCCCTTTAATCTAAGGCTCCATTTTTAAACCCCTAATCACCTGCGGTCCCTCAATCTGCGAGACGGGTCATCTGTTCCAAGGTGCCAATATTTGCCAGCCAACAGTTCGATCATTCAACATTGTAGCTATGCCATCAATCGTTCGATCACAACAACCCTCCCTTAGCTACAGCCCCTTCCCTTCGAGACCCCTTTTCCTTCGGGACCTTGGTTCGTATATGATGAATTAGAGGGGAGGCCCCCCTGCCGGTACATGTCCCTCAACACTTATGATGTATTGATGATATGGACTAATGGGAGGGAGAAGGAGGAACACCTGACATCTCTTCGCAAGTTGAGAGCTACAGTAAGCCATCTTAACTAGCTATAGAAGACTTCCGAAATAACCAGATTTCGATCTGACACTACCGTAATCCGGCTAAAAATAATTTTTTTTGAGCTTTAAGCGTTATTGCAACCATTTTAAACGGAATTTCTTGCCAAATCAGAAGCAATTAAGCGAAAGTCGGAAAAACAACGATAAAATAGTCGAAAAGATATCGTAATCTCTTTCAACGTTTTGTATTTTCGGCTCGTAAACTTCAAAACAATAGATGGGCCCCCTTCTCAGCAAAATTAGCTCCAAAATACCTTCGAATTCACCCTCGAAGAATACAGTAATCTGGCTACAATTTGCCATACTTTATTTAACTTTTTAATTTTGTAAAATCTTTCGATTCATTTTTTAAGTTTAAGGTTCAATAAGACTGCAGAATTGTAAAATACATGATTTCTGTAATAGAAAATTAATCACAATTTCCAAATTGCAGCAATCGACGTTTTAAAAACCACCGTAACTTTGCTTGGCCGTTTTAATCTTAATATTTCCAAAATGCACCTAATTACGCTTTGAAAGCTACCGTAATCTAGCTAAAATCCGTTTTCGCGTTAATAGTTCGAAAGCAACTTAATTATGCTTTAAAAACTATCGTAATCCGGCAAAATGCGGCATTTTTGCATTCATAGTTCCGAGATCCACCTAATTACGCTTGAAAACTACCGTATTTCAGGTACCCTAGTATTTTTTGAGCCTTGAAACTTATCGAAGCTATTATCTCAAAAGTAATACCCCCTCCTTTCTTCCCGATGGCTAATCCGATACGCTAATTAGCCAGCCATTCCCACGATAATCATTCTCCCTTCTCTTCCCTCACTAATTCCCCCATCAGATATGCAAATATCGGGCCCCTGTTGCTGTAGATGCCCCCAGGCCCTCAATCGGTGTCCCTTTAATCCCCCTCCTCAAAAAGTGCATTGATTGCCGCGATAAGGTGCCCATTGTTTGCAATCGAACGGCCCAAAAGAATTGGGCCACACAGTGTACGATTACAAAGGAGAGGCAGGGCCACCGGAAGAGGCCCAACACAGCTGACCCGGTCACTTGACGTTGCGTAAATTTGGACTCTTCAAACTTTGGCTGGGGAGGAAGGGCTACTGTAGGCAAACAGCTAGGAGCTGAATTTTTGAAAATCGGTGCCAAAAAAATTAAAAATTTGGGTTCTTTCGCATTATCGGAGGGGCCAGCTTTTTCCGAAAAGTCGATAATTTTTAATAATGTAATAATAATTATTTTAATAGTGTTTTTATCAAAAATTTAACTCTTTTTAAAGTGGAAAAAATAGTCAATCAATGCTTTCAAAAATCAATCGTTCCATGTTTTTTTAATGTTTTTAATCAAAACTTGTCGTAAAATCAAACTTAGCTATAGGAAAAAAAGACAATTTAGAACAACCCCCTCTATTGTTATTTACAAAAGGTATTAAAATGAGACCTGAGAAAGCCCCTGCCCCGATAACGCGAAAGCACCGATATTTACGATTTATTACTCGAGCGCGTTGCGTATCGCGATCGCAGCCAAAATCGGCAGAAAAGGCCCTTCGCCCGATAAATGCAGAAAATAATGCCACTATTTATTCGACAACACAACCCAAAAAATACACAATTCAACCATACAATTTTTGCCCGTTAGTACCGTTTCGTTGTCGCCGTAACGCTCGTCCTGCTCGGTCTTCCTATTGCGGGTCGAGCGACGGCTCGGGGTTGGCGGGGTTCGGGAGCTATAAAAATTTTGGTTCTTTAGGATTCGCGGGGGGAAAGTATTCCCGGGGGAAACCAAATTTTTTTCGGCACAAGCCTAGATTTTTTTATTAATTGCGGATGCGTTTCTAAGTTGTTTTAACTATTCCTGAGCATAAAAACTACACACATTTTAACCAAAAAAAATCAAAAAAATAAAAATTGGGTCGAACGATCCTATAGAACCTTTAGGATTCGCGGGGGGGGAAAGACCCAAAATGACCAAATTTTCGACTTTTTCAAACATTTTTCTAAATTTTTCTGAAAGTTTTTCTACTTTAAGTATAGTTAAAACTTACTAAAAACAAGTCGAAAACACTTTATATTTGATTACTAGGTCAACCGGGACGACCAGGAAAAAAAATTGGTTTCCCCCCGGGAATACTTCCCCCCCGGGAATCCTAAAGAACCAAAATGTTATATAAAGAATTTGCGCAATAGACTAGTGGATTACCTATCCTAAACTAGGCTTGAAAATGACATTTTCCCAGGTTTCTTTGAATCGCGGCTACCAAAAAATATGAAAGCCGCCCTTCCAGCATATGCTAATTGTTTATTGGTTAAGCGCGAAAACTCTAGGGCATGTTCGGTATGTCATTAGGTGCGTAACGAACTCGAGGCGACTAAATACCCATCAGCTTTCTCAAAGTAGGCTGTTTTCGAGGTTAAATTCAATCCTACTATATATAAAAAAATAGTGTCTGTGTGTGTGTGTGTGTATGTGTGTGCATTTGCATGCAACTTCCGTCAGCGTGTTCCAGTAGTATCTCGAGAAGGTGGGCAGTTAGGGGTATGCTTTATACCTCATCAGGTGCGTAATGGCCGTGGGATGACTGCACACTCATAAAATTTTCAAAAATTCGGTGTTTTCGATGTTAAAATTAAGTTTTTTGTTGAAAAATGGAGAACCCTCTTTGTTAGGAAACAATTAGCATACGCCGGAAGTTGCGGTAGCCTATATAAGAGCGAGAGGTCCCGTTTCTCATTTTTTGTCCTCGAAAATCGCGAGAATTATGCAAAGCGACGAATACCATGGGATCAGAGGCGGCCAGGGTTGAAAAGTCGCGAAGCGGCTTTTCAACCCTGGTTTTTGTTAAAATCTTGGTCATCTCTTCGTTGGGCAGCAATTAGCATACGCCGGAAATGA